CTTCACAGGTAACCCGTGTAACCTATTCTCTATACCAGCATATGTAATGTAATATGCTATGTGCGTCAGCACCATCCGTGTAATATACAGATGTGTGCTTGGATACCTGGCTAAGTGAAGTATAGCCTGGTCCAGCGCTTAGTGCTGTGCTTGAGTTATTTATATGAGAATGGTTAGGGTCACAAGGACTGTATTTGTGACAAAGACCTTCATGTTTCAGGTTTCTATTTCACCTGTACTAACATTAGCTCGCCAATTACTTGGCTCGCAGCAGTTAGTATTTGTCTCGATTTACTCTATGAATAGCTGTAGGAGACCCCTTGTACTAGTACCCCAGACTATAGGTCTGCGACTATATAAAGGGGCGGAGCAGCAGCTGAAACAAAACCTCTTCCACCTGTGACTCTGAACGTTCTCAGTTCTAGAACCCTCGTGCAATCGTACTCGCTCTCAAGAGGTAGTAAGCTCATACGCTTGCTAGAGTCAGAACAGCAAAACCTAGTAACCTGCGGGTGAATGTGCAGTAGCTGTAGTGGCCAAGGCCTAGCAAGGGTAGAGTGAGGACCTCACTGCTACATCGTCTACTAGGCTTGACCACACTATAAACCCTGCTAATAGTCTGCCTGACTATTGGAGACGTTAGGTATATTTGGTATCTAAGTCTCTGTCCACGTTGTGGACTAGTACATGTGAGAAAGCACATGTGGTTCTGAACGTTCTAGCAGGGAACACTTCATAACACATGGCAAAGCGCTGAGGCAATAATCAAGCTTGGCCAATCCTTGTTAGTATCCGTTGCATATGACAATTTCGACATCAACCAGAATACAATGATGCCAGTAGTTGAACGATCCTCGGAGTCTCTACTGCATTTGACTTCAGGTGACTTTCTGCACCTTGACCATGGCGTCACTAAGGATGATCTTCGCTGCTCCAAAGAGCTTTGGGAGAAGTCTCCTTTGAACCCTACATGTCCACAGAACGTACCCCTACCTCGATATGGATTCGATGACATCCTGGCATTACATCCAGAAGTGGAGCACCCAGTGGGTCTGACAAGGCGAGGATGATTCAATTCCTGGCGGTTCCTGCACGATCTCGTCCATCATGGTCCGAAATATTTTTCCAAATTCATACCGAAGATTGGAGAACCAGGAACAGTCGAGGCCATACCTGTGACCAAGTTGCAGCACCATCCTGCATGAGCGATGGACCTCAATCAGTCACGCGTTGATGGTAATATTGATGCGATCGCAAACCTTCTGTCGCAAGCAGGTCTCGGTGATCCTTCAGAAGCATCAAGCAAGAATCATGGTGGATCAGAGGTCGTCGACATATCAGACTATGTTGTTCTGATACATGGTGGATCTCAGCACATGCGAAAGAGTTCAGTCCATTCTGAAGGTCCGCAGCATTGAGGAGACACCCTGGAAATGTTACCAGTTTGTCGTCTTCGTACCTGGGTTGTTTCATCTCAAAATGGCGTGCGCTGATGCAATCTACAAAGCTCTCATCCACCCACCTCTTTCACGTCTCGATGAAAACTCCATGATGCACTTTGTAGGCATCATGCATCCTAAAGAAACTGGGAAGATTAGATCAAATCCTAAATTTCATCAAATGCATGAAGTGATTGGACATACTGGTATAGCACTGCGACTTGATGCCTGGTGTGTTGAGGTAGCACGACGTCACAATATGTCATCGCTCGAAGATTATGCCAAGAGTGAACCTTCAATGGATGCCCTGTGTCGCATGGCTGACACATTGGCCCAAGAGTATGTGCATGGTGAAGGCATGGGTGTCTTTGATGCACGACGCAAGGCCCAATCAGCACGGGATCAACAGCATGAGAATGTTCTGCTTATGCACCAATACCTGCTATTGTACGAGGAGATCACCTATGCGATGAATGCCGGAGACATTGGAAGGGTGGAGGCCATACTTCCATCATGGATCACCATTTTCAAGGCTACTGGAAAGCATAAATACGCGAATCAGATGCAAAAGTTCTTGGCGGAGCTGCACTTCGTGTACCCATCTGATCTGAGGTGAGCAATGTTCAGATCAACTGCAAGGTCGATGATCTTCTCATGTTTCACAAGGCACGCAATCAGGATGAATATTCTCATCAACCCTACTGGAAAAGTGTTCGCTTTTCGTGGTGTTGACTGGGTCGTGGAGCTAAACAATCTTTTTACGAAGGTAAGCAATATAAATTTCTAGCAAATGAGCCTCACGTCTATTCCATTAGGACAAATACGGTGGCTCGGGACCAAACTACACAAAGGACCACGTCATAAGTGAGTCGCCAAACATTATGGTGTATCGCAGTTGTGCTAGTAATGCAGAATGCAACTATCACCTGAACGGTCTCACATCGGCACACGGAAAGAAGAATATAACGAAGACGTTCGACTCAATACTAACCTACATGTGGGAACACGGTCCGAACGAGCATAAGGCTGGTTGCAAGGCTTCTTACACATTGCGTGACATGATAGACAAGGGAATGGAGGCATTATTGAGTACATCAATCGAGGAAGAGACAGCGGTGGAGGGGATCAATGAAGAGAACACTATGGATTAAGAGCTAGTTGCCGAGGATCTCGCGGTGGATGGTTCTATGTAGCTTGGTCCAGACTGTACAGATCCGTAGAAGCTCCACACCAGTACCTCACTATGCCATGCGCGATCTATAAAGCAGGGATTAGTCGATAGAGTATGAACAAAATTGCATCGCGTACCATTAAGTGACTCGCACAGCAGCGGCGTGTAGCTTGTGCCCTGATTAGGTTGGTTATCTTGTCGAAGCCATAGGCTTGCAGGTGATGCTTGAGCATTGAGCCGATAGGCCAGAGAGGCGAACGTGTTCTGCATGGCACTCGCAGAGACGTTGGCTGTAATCTGGGAGGAAGCGACTGGAGCCCCTGCAGCCCCAGATGCTGAGGCTATATTGGCTTGATTGGCCACACATTCCTGCTTTGCTGGGCAGTCGTGGCTTTGCTCTGACACCATTCTATAATCAGCGAGACAATGCAAATTCAAGGTGATCACTCACTATTATGACCTAGCTGTCCGCACATGCCACATCTATATTGTTTCACAGCGCATCCTGTGTCTGAGGCTGCAAGCACCCAATTCGCCACTCAGATAGTGGCACCACTTTGCTGTTCAGCCAACAGGCAAACACTACAAGGGATCCCTCTACCAACTGGCATACAGTATAGCCAGGTACAGGATAGGCTGGATCTTCTCACAACTTATCCAGATGAAGACTGATCATCCCACCATTATTCTGAGTATGGACAGATCCTCTTACCTGAAGTCACAACCGTTGTGATGTGCCCTATTAGCCATCACCCATTGGCCCCTCAACAGTGGGCCCACTTACAGGCAATTATTCCATTGGATGAGATAAGATTACCTTGGCATAACCATGGCCTTTGTAGATAGTTGCCATAGTTGCTGCCAGAGCCCTTAGTGATTCTGGCATGATGTTCTCACATGTAGCTTGCTAGGACCCCAATAGGTACACCATAGTTAGAGTGATCAGGGTCCAGCCCTACATGTATATAAGCCTATGAGAATCTAAGGGAAGACCTTAGATTCATTATACTATTGTATGTGGCCAGCAGGCCAGCTTCCCCCTTTCACCTTTTGTGCAAGGCCATGCATTGGAGCTTTGCCTTGATTGCTGGTTGTATGCCACTGTGCGCCATCCTCAGCCTAGCCCTTGTGGCAGGCTTTTCTAGGTTAGCCTTAGGGCAACCTTTTATGTGGATCATTTATGCAGGTCACACAAGCAGACTTGCCCTTAATTGGGTTAAGTGCTTTGTGCTTTGTGACATATTTAGTATGATGCTCCTGGTGAGTGTGCTCATGTTCCTCTATATGTATGTACTCAGCTCAGTACAATCTTTGCCAGAGGGATTTACTATGCTGGCTGCGACAATTCTGTACAATGTGCTCTCTGCAGGTTTGGGAAGATGCTATCATCGAGCAAAGTCAGGAGTTATCGCTTATCTGTGCAAGTTGTGCTTCACTTTCCAATCTCTGTATCTATTCGAGAGGACAAGAGGTTTTCTGGACTCGTTCACTGATGTCTGCTCACCTCACATAGATTTGCTGGCAAATGTTACATTTGTAATCCCTCATCGATATTTTAGCTATAGTAAAACAACTCCTAGCTCTGAAATAAAATTTAAATATGTTGTATCTGATAGCCTCACATATTTCACAAATTCAAAATCTCCGATGGAGCATGCAATCCTGCCAAATGTATGCTGTAGCTTTAAGACTATGCGTGTTGTGCGAAGTTTGAATTTGCCCTGTAAGATTTTACATGATCCCATGTATGGTTTCAGATGTTAACTTTGCTACACAAACTGCGATCAATGTAAATAATAAACAAAAATTTGAATATCTAATCATCATTTGCCAAGCATATTACACGCTTGAAAATGGCACCATGTCTCCTGTGTGGTGAAGGTGTCGCACAATTTGACCAAGTCCAAATAGATCATTACACATGTCACTGCCATTATTTATGCAAACAGCGATAATGCAACACTACAATGTGGACTAATCTATTAAGTGCCTTCTGGATATCATTTAACATCCTGCTTTATAATCTGTGACACATTTCAAACCATATGAAAGGCAACCTGCATATTCTGTAATTCTACGGCTGGATAGATATGTGGTATTAGGATATTATTTCAACAAATCAAACCTGTATTTGAAATCTGTAACACTCGTTGGGACATCAATAAATTTATTTTACAAAGGTAAAACACTGATTGAGACATATCGAAAAAATGCACCCTTAGCGGAATTGCTGGCCGAAATTGATAACATCTAGCGCCGGCCGTTACAATTTCTCAGTCTCATCATGGCGCGAACCGATCTGCCGGGCTTTGCAAGGCCTGCGAACTGGAAACTGACTCTGGACACTCCTCGTCTTAGTCAAGCCATGGCGCGGTCTCACCACATCTTTCTCTCCCTTCTCCCTCGTCATCGCAGAGCCCCAGCCTCCTCGGTGTTGAAGCGAGGTCTGTGTGACGTTAAAACTCCATCATCTGTACAGAATGCCGCTCGCGCCCCCGCTCAACTTCCCCAAATGGCTCGCCGAGAACGGAGGTCTGCTCAAGCCGCCGGTCAATAACTACTGCGTGTACGCGGGAAAAGACTTCATTGTCATGGTAGTGGGGGGACCGAACGAGAGGAACGACTACCATGTGAATGAGACGGAGGTGCGCCTGTCATGCATCATTAAGTTGTCTGAGTGGCTAATTGTAAGCGCATTGGCCATGGTAGGAGTGGTTCTACCAGTACAAGGGCGGTATGCTCCTGCGCGTGGTGGATGGCGACGAATTTAGGGACATCAGAATTGAGGAAGGGGAGATGTTCCTCCTTCCAGGTCGGCCAACAACGATTTATGCGAGCTGTGCTCGCCTGTTGATCGCGTACCGCCTTCCTTCTAGCCAACACTCCGCACAACCCAGTGCGCTTTGCGAACACCATCGGCCTCGTGGTCGAGCGTGTGCGTCCCGGACCCTCCATTGGTGAGCTCATTCATCCCATGTTGTACATCACGCATATCGACTGACAGTACTGGCGTTCCAGACCGCCTGCGCTGGTATTGCAAGCAGCCGGTCCACAGCACTCCCACAATCATCCGCGAGGAGTCCCTCCACGTTACCGACCTCGGCACACAACTCAAGCCTATTATCCAGAACTGGATAAACAACGAGGCGGTGAGGAAGTGCCCCGGATGCGGGGCCGTTGCGGAGGCGAAGTGATCAATGAGAATCTGAATATTCAACTATTCAAACGCTACTATGTTTATGCAGTAAGCCTAAGAGGTGTATGTACTGTGGATATGCGCAGTTGTAGCCTATCCATTCAGAATTGGAATGACACTAATTGTCTATCGTACGTAGCATGTGGTTCAGCAGCATCCTTGCCCCTGTCATTTGATTCCGTGGGGTTTCAACCAGCCGACGTCATCGCGAAGCACGGACGACGTACACTAACACCAGCGCCCCGATATGGTCTTTGACCTGTCATATATGGAAGCCGACCGACAGGACTAATTCTTGGCTCCAATGCGCCCCACGATGATGTAATCCGCCCGAAATGCCCTATATAAGCTCCCTCTCTGTAACTCGCCCAACCACCCCACTTGCAACCTCACTTACATCTCATCATGGACAACTCGAACTGGTCCGACAACAACTCTTCCTCCACCGACCCTGCAGGCTGCGCCAACCAGGGAACGGGCGGCGGGTCGAACTCTCAGTCGTTCAATCAGGGACAGGGACAGGGCATGGGCGGCGCGTATGACAACATGCAGTCGAGCCAGCAGACGGACAATCAGGGACAGGGACAGGGCATGGGCGGCGCATATGACAGCATGCAGTCGAACCAGCAGACGGACATGGGAGGCGGACAGGGCGCGATGGGTTCAGGCGTCGCGGGGGGATACGAGAACAACTCGTCCCAGCAGAGCACGAACCAGGCACAGAGCGGACAGAACCAGGCACAGAGCGGACAGAGCCAGGCACAGAGCGGAGAAAAGCAGGACTGGCTCGACAAGGGCATCGCGTTCATTGGGAAGAAGGCGGGCATGAACGTCGTGAGTAGTCTCTGGATTTACTGCATTACAAGGACGTGGTGCTGACCTGCATAACGCGTCACATAGAGCAACACTCAGGCAGACACTGCTGGTGACTTCGCCAACAAGCAGTTCAACAAGCGTTCCGGTAAGTTGATTCAGAAGGCTGTGTGCTGACATGCGGCTGACGTCAATTAGGTCGCAACATCCCTGGAGTGCAGTAGGCAGCCGCGAACATCCAATCAACTGTAAATTAGATTGTAAGTTAGAGCTGAGATAGGCTAGTAACTTTATGGGAAGTTTGGCAAATTGGGAAGTTTGACAAATTGGAACGCGCAGGCCATCCTCGAGAGTCGGTGTGCCGCTTACATCAGTGTTTCGGCTTCAAGATGTCATTCCCAACCATCCCACAGTAGGCAACAGTTACTAATCGACTGGAACTCGTACAATCTGGCGTGACTTCCTGCTTGGCAGTCATATTCAAGCCTTGGTCATTTTCATCGGCGTTGGGAACAGTCCGTACAGATCGAAATAGACCTACCTTCTACGGAAAGCGATAGGTGTAACTGCTCACCTCACCGCAGGCATGAAAGCATTTGCGACCATTCATTTTTGACACTAAATTGTAATTAACTGCCTTTTTGGGACGTAAAGCTGCCTAATTAGGGCATGGTGTTGCATAGGTCACACTTTAGAACACGTTTTAAGAGCATTTGCAACAGGAATGAATGCCTTCATGCCTGCAGTGCCTGTAGACTGAACGAGGCATTCTGCAATGTGCGCAGGTGGCGAATCCACTCAGCAAATATACATATTTACTCAATGCAGGGAATACAGTACATATGCGTCTCGTTCTAGGGTACAAAGTCATTATGGCAAAACATAGGGTACTTAAGGGTACGTTACGTTGTGCGCGCTACATGGTCATAATGTTCCGTTCATTATCAATAGAGGCTTGGGTGGGGTTCGCCCTCGAAGGGGTAATCGATATATCCATGCGGATCTTCGATAGCATAGAATGTGTCGTGCCTTGGCGTAACGAGCGGGAGATTGGCCGCGAGACGCAAGGGCAGGTCAGGCTGCGTAGCCAGACAGGGTCAGACATACGCGACGCGTTGGACGTGAAGAGAGAGGAGGGCACGTACGTTGGGAATGAACAGTCTACCGAACGCAATCAGGTCGCCCTTTTTCTCTGCCGTCTCGAACGCGGTTTCGCGCGTGTAGCATCCACAACTGATGAACGTACGCGGGGACCAGATCTCCCTCAGAAAGTCATTCGACTGGACATGACGTATCAGCGTCAGCAAGTCGCTTCGTGCGCGCAGAGCTCAGGGTGAAGGGAGCGCACCTCATGCTCTAGTTTTATCCTGTCGATGTCGCCGCTCGCGCTCGGCTCGACTGCATGCACGTATGCGAGATTGGGGTACCTCAACGCGATGTGGGAAATGAGATACGAGAACGTCGGGATCGGATCCGGCATGTGCATATCTGCTCGTAATCGCACTCCGTTCAGCCACCAAGCTCCAAGCTCCAAGCAGGAAGCAAGAACGCTAGCCACGCACCCTGGGCATCGCCCCACGGACTCACGCGTATTCCGACCTTTTCCTCTCCGATCGCGTTAGTAATCGCCTCGACGCTCTCGAGCGAAAACCGGCAGCGATTCTCTATCGACCCGCCATACTCGTCCGTGCGCTTGTTGCACACGTCCTGCAGGAACTGGTCCTGGAGGTACCCGTTTGCGCAGTGCAGCTCGACGCCGTCAAAGCCCGCGCGGACGGCGTTGAGCGCCGCGTCGCGGTACGTGTGTACGTATTCTTTGATCTCTGATGGTCGGGGTAAGTGAAAGGTAGAGAATCGTATGGTGTAGGGAACTGCGCACCGGGGATGGTGAGTGCACGCGGCACTTTGGGGAAGCCGGTCAGTTGAACGGCAGATGATGAAATGTAGGGGAGCGCCGGGTCTTCTTCTTCGAGAACTTCTACCCGTGCGCCCCTTCCTAAAGCCCACAGCTGGCAGAATATCCGACAACCATTGTCGTGTACAATGTCTGTGATCTGCAGGGGCACGTACGGCGAATCAGTGAACGCCCCCAGACGACGCCACAGCCCGCAGCCATGACACAGACAGGAGCCCCACCCACCGTCTTCCAGCTCGCCACCTGCTTGTCATTGTAGATGCCAGGCACGTTGCCGTACCCGCCTGCCTTCGGGCTGATGAACGCGCCCTCTGAAATGATAAGACCGCCGGGCGTATGCGACCGCTGTCCGTAGTAGTCCTGGCTCATCTCGCCGAGAATGTGGTCTTTGTTTGCGCGGAAACGGGTCAGAGGGGCCATGACGACGCGGTGCGCCAGCATGCGTGTGCCGAGCTTGGCTGGCTGGAAGAGCTTCGGGACGACCGCGGCGGCGGACATAGCGTGTGTGTATGAGAGATTGTATGGTAGGGTGGGGACAGGGATGTCGTCGACGTCGTGCTAGGGCAATGGAATATATATCGCGCGCCACCTAGTGTCTCTGGACCCGCCGGGGTTGCATGACCAAGGCTGCCTAGGCGGAGGACTGAACCGAAGTTTGTACACAGGAGATACGCAGACTTCATCGGCCAACGAGATGAGGTGGAGCGGTTAGCTTGAGATGCTCTGGGCGCGTTCCGGACTAGTCAGCGGCTCAAGCCTTCCAGGCGGATATGACATCACGGGACCGTTGAGGGAGGGTCAATACCCCTAGATCCTAGATCTATCGCACATTGATCGAGGCTGCGTGACGATACAGAGGTGAGTTGCTTTGACAACGTCATAGGAGCAGAGAAACTCACGTACAATGAGAGGCTAAAAGGCTGCCAAGTTGTGAGTTGCAAGTCGACACTATCCGATGGGCCACATCTAGATGTACCACACGTGACTGGAGGAGTTGCTGAAACTCACCTATAACGGATCGCCACCGTCTCTTGAGGACAGTCGCCCACAACAATCGTACATATACATTCCAAGATACAGCAGCAATTAGTACAGTTACACAGTCAGAAATACTCAATGTCATCGCTCTCCAACCACCCGCCACCACCGGAATTGTCTTCATCTCTGCCAGCTTCCGCACGCCTCTTACCACCACTCGCACTGGCTCCGCCGCTCTCGTCTAGCACCATGCCTTGCGGGACTTCCCCGTCCTCCGTCAGCTGTTCCAGACCTCCGGAGCCCTCGTGAAACTCCAGTCTGGAAAACAACTTGTGGGTGGCAGGAGCGGTAGACAAGCTAACACCTGTGATTCAAAGTCAACGCAGCACTTTGAGATCTACAGGGATAGGATTCTCACCTGCGGTGTCTCGCACCTTCAGAATTGCCCCGAGTTCCAAAGCCACATTCCGTCTGCTCCAGCCCTCAGCTTGCCACTCCTCGTTCTATCGTCGTCGCCACGCCTTTAGCACGGCACGGACAGAACTAAAGGGAGTCACGCTCACCAGCTGCAACCATGCTTGGACATCTCGCACGCCATCCTCCGCTTCTCGTTCGTGCTGAAGCGCATCAAAAAATAAGGGCTTGTACGGCTTCTGGCTTCGTCGCGTCACAGGCGAAGGCAGCGAGTGCATTGTGCTGAGTGCGAGCAAATGGAAGCGGTGAGGGTTCGCTTGATGCCACTACGATGATCGTCAGGAAGCTGCGAAGCGTATAGTGAACGAATTGCCCCATTGCTTACCTCTCCGCCGCCGCTAGAGTCAATCCAACTCAGCCAGTCTGCTTCCATGTCGCATTCATCCAGATCATTACAGTATTGTGTGTAATTCTGGTGAATGTACAGGGACAGCAGAGATGCGTCGATAGGAGAATCGCCATAGAGCATCTGCATCAGACATAACAGACAAATTAACAACCTTGATCTGCAAGAAATAGCACGCGCCATCACAAACCTCAACATCCATACGGCTGGGCCGCCGCTCGTGCTGCTTCAGATGCGAAGGCAACGGTGGCGGGTCTCTCAGCCTAGCATCGAGCTCCTGATCACGTAGTTTGTCCTTCGCAGACGCAGACGGTGCTGGCGGGTCGCCCTTTCCTGCAGATGAACGCATTTCAATTAATCTTCAACCCTCTTGCACGCGACGGGGATGAGACGTACGCTTGTTCCACAACACCTTTCCCAGCAGGTGGAATAAAGCAAGGCTCTGTTCTCGGCGTGTCACCGCCTCCATCACCACGCGCGCGTTCGGGCCACCGCCGCGCTTTCTGCTGCCCTTCGTGACTGCTGACGCCGCCGACGTTCCTGCGACACACGCGAACTGCAGTGCCATCACGGCACTGCGGATGTCGCCGTTCGAGGAACTGACGATGAGGCCTAGCACCTCCTTGGAGGGTGGAAAGCCTCGCACGGAAGAAAAGTGTTTATCCAGGAGGCGTTGAAGGGCTGGGCGCAGCAGGGTCGGCGCAACCGGGTTGAATCTGAAATGAGCATTCATTACCATCAGACAATAGAAAACGAAAGCGATGAGCAATCTATACCGGACGTGGGTAGTGAAAGGCGAGTTGAGCAAATTGTGCGGAAGGACAAGCCGAATGTCGATCGTCTCCTTCGCTCGCCGCCACGGCCCCGCATCGTTGTCGACATCCTCGCCCCGAAGCCCTGCGTCACTCACGATTATCACCAGAGGCGCAACGTAATCCGGCGGCGCGTGAGAGATGAATGCCTCAAGTGCCGTGTGAAAAGCGTCCTGCGTGCCCGGATGCAAGATATTTGGGAGGTCCTCGAGCAGAATAACCTTCCGTTTGGATCGCGCGGAGAAATCCGTGTCATGGCTAGCGGGAAAGCCCTCAGCGGATGAGCTCGTTGAACGCTGACTTAGGCTGGACGGTGACTGCAAGGAGGGACCTTGGGCACCGGAATTTGAGAAGACGGTGCGGCAATTCGATGCACGGGCTAGAAAGGCTCGAAACTTCTCAGAAAGGCCTTCATATTCCATCTGACCCATTGCGTTGTCACCAGGACTGAGCCGAGCATCGCGAGCGAAGCGCTCGTCCGCGCTGTTGCGCCACTCTAGGATCTCGAAATTCAGCTCTCGTGCTAGAACATGGAGAGTAGTGGTCTTTGCTGTTCCCGCGGGCCCTGTGAGAGCCAGGATCCTCTAGTCAGGACGTGTTAGCGGTAATGATTGACAAACTGGTGGTATTTGTACCGACCCTGTACTTCTTCAGCTTGCCTGATGGGCCGCCGTCGAATGCTTCCAGCAGCCATTGACGGACATCTTGTACCTTCCGCTGATGTACAGCTAAATCTTCCTGTTAATTTTGTCAACCAATCAAAACAATGTGAGCGCAGGTGCTTACTTTTGTGGCGGGCTCATACCGGTCCACCCACAACCGGTCGTCTGCGCATATATGCTCATAAATTTCCTGGTACAATGAACTAGACACGGTAACATACCTGAATCAGGACCTCTAACTGAAGCAACCACAACCTCCGCTGCCTTCCCCTTCCCTTTGGGATTTTTCTCACTCTGTGGCGGTCGTTCGGGCTGACTGCCAGTCGATGCGAAGACGGGAGGTCTGGCCAACTGCGTAGCTCCAGTAGTTAGCTTACATTTCCTGTCACGATACGGCAGGCATGTCCGCACTTACAGACGACAATGGCTTTGTCCTTTGCTTCTTTGCAGGTGGAGGTGAATCAAGTCGGAGGTTGCTCAGAAGACGCGACGAGGATGGTGGCTTGCTTCTCTTCTGCGACCTGAGCACTCTTTGGGACATTTCATCGGCTTTCTCAGTATGAGTGGTATCGCTATATGTCAAAGGAGCTCAATACTTGGAGGAAACAAAGACTCGAGTGCCACAACCTGCCGCAACGCATAAGAACGCGTAGCGTCACAACCCGTCACAACCCGTCGTGACCGTTGTTAGTTAAATGGTGAACGTTGACTCTTTCTTTGCCATTTCAAAGCTTCACTACAACTATGACTGTTGGCCTTTAAGGACGAAACCTTATCTGACGTTGTAGCGCATGGAATTACGATGCTCCTTGCGATGTTCTCCTTGGCCTCGCCTCCAATTGAAACAGTTGAACATTGCGGCCGAAGAGTCGAGTGCGCATTTTCCCGCGGCATGCTGGACTACTGCCGCTTTGCAGTATTGGCAAAATCGCGGCACCAGCAGCAGCGCAGAGCTCAGCTGTAGTGGTTTCAATCACTGGCATGATGCAAGCGTCCTTCGGCGCTGCACTATTTTCGGCTCAGGACGCTCTACGAACTATTTCCTGGGTCCCTGGGTGGCGGTTCAGCGCTGAAGCGGCCGAGTCTTCGACAGCAACCTGCATGTCAGCATCATGTTGCATCGCGTCAGATTTCCGCGGCTTTGCGACGCATTGCCACGGTCAAATTGGGAGGCCGAACAGCTGCCAGGGTGAGTAATACTACTAGAACGCTGAATTACATTCGAAGTTACCATCGGGGAAACAATTGATTGCTCAGCAGCAGGCTTATCCGGAAACGACTCCCGAAGCTGCAGCATTGTCGACCACATATAAAGCCCGCAGTTGAGAGCGCGGCTCGCAAGCCATCTTCTCCCATCAACGCAACATGTCGTCGCCTGTGACCGTCCCCAAGCTCTTCCAGCCTATCAAGGTCGGAGGGCGCATGTACGCTCACCGCGTCGTGATGGCTCCACTGACGCGTTACCGTGCAAACAAAGCGCATGTGCACGGTGACCTTGCGGTAGAGTATTATGGCCAGCGGGCGACGGTTCCCGGCACTCTGATAATCACCGAGGCAACATTCATCGCTGCAAAGGCCGGTGGGTACAGGAACGTACCGGGGATCTGGAGTGACGAACAAGTAGTTGCGTGGAAGCGGGTAGGTGATCTGTGTCGGGAGATAGTTGCGATAGACAGCTCACTTACAGATCGCAGGTGACCGACGCGGTCCACGGGAACGGTTCTCGCATCTTCTGCCAACTATGGGCTTTGGGTCGGGCCGCTGATCCTCAAGTCCTTGAAGAAGAGGATCCATCCTTCCCTTTTGTCGCTCCTTCCGACATCCCGATGACGGGCAGCCCGAAGGCGCCTCGTCCTCTGACCATCTCAGGTACACGATTTCCTTGATTGTCACCATGCGTTCTCCCCTGATGTCAAATTCAGAGATAAAGGAGTATATCAAGCTATATACAACCGCCGCCAAGAATGCCATACGCGCTGGCTTCGACGGTGTCGAGCTTCACGGCGCAAACGGCTATCTCGTCGACCAGTTCCTGCAGGACGTGAGCAACAAGCGCACTGATGAGTACGGCGGATCGATCGAGAACCGCAGCCGCTTTGCTCTCGAGATCATTGACTCTGTCACGAATGTGATTGGCGAGGAGAGGATGGGCATCAGACTGAGCCCTTGGGGCGATTTCCAAGGTATGCTGTACATAGAGGCATCCTAACATGTGACAGATGACGACGCCCGTGAATAGATATGCGTATGCCGGACCTAAAGCCCACGTTCTCATACCTGGTGTCCCAGATCGCCGCACGGCACCCGAATTTTGCATACATCCACGTCGTCGAGGCGCGCACGAACGGAAACCGGGATCGTGTTCCAGAGCCAGGCGAGGCGAGTTTCGTTGCATCGGCTCCATCAGAACGTTGTCGCTGATGATATGTCATGCAGGACAACGACTTCCTGCGCAAGATCTGGGCACCGCGTACCTTCATCAGTGCGGGCGGACACAGTCGCGAGACTGCGTTTGAGACGGCTGAGAAGAACGGTGACCTCGTCGCGTTCGGACGATTCTTCATTTCCCATGTAGGGCGTCACATCACGATCTGCTTTTCCTCGTTCGTTGACCCCGTTATGCCCAGCCCGATTTGCCGCTGCGTCTCGCGCAGAACCTGCCGATTTCGAAGGGAGACCGCGACACGTACTACAGCAAAGAGGATCCGCATGGCTATATCGACTATCCGTTCACCGACGATACGCAAGCCAAACTATAGAAGATTCCAACGCATACGGAGACGTTCTTTGGCACAACCTTAAAAAGAAGATATTCGAGATGACTGTGACATCTTTTGCGATTTGCGGAAGTATTGTATGCAAAGCAAAGCAGCTTGTGCTTAGACACAATTCAACGAGGAATTGCCAGAAGCGAATTGTGAAGGCTAAGGATGCCACAGGCAACTTCTCGCGCGGCTGTCACAATCATACCTTTTCTCGGGCATATTCTTGTCGATATCCTTCCAGCGAGCATGGTCTCTCAGCCAGTGAGATCCCTAAGCACAGATTCAGAAGATATGACTTCGAGGAACACTTGACGGCCACGTGATCGCGACATCAACATTGATTACTTCAAGAATTGTCTTATATTGCATCTATCCTGTGCAGACGTTTGCCAACGCACTGATGCTGCGGCCCATCCTATCTGACGCGGCTGACGTGTCTGTCCTTATCCGAGTCAGTCGCAACGCGGGGTACGGTATTTCGTTAGTATCGGTCGGTGTCAGTCCTAGGTGAGGACTCCGATGCGGTCAAGGCTATCCGTAGTATGTGAACATTTTAACCTTTCCATAACAGCTCACCTGTATGTTCATTGTTCAGATCACGCGAATTTCGGGCGGCCTTAAGAGCGCGTATACATAGCAAAGTACATAAGCAATATATCCATCAATATAGGTCATAACTCCGCAAAGACGGCATATTCTGTCCGGTGCGTGACATTACGCAGCTGCTAGCTGTTTTCTGCGAATCAGACGCGACTGTAAACGCGCGCTTCACGGGCATTTGAATTATCACTCCATGATGCTGGTCTCAATCAATGTCAAGTACCAGCTCCGGTTGATAGTGCTCACTAACGGCACACACGGTCATGGCTCATGACCGGGACCCGTGATTGTTGGTCTACTTACAAGGACGTAACTTTATCCGCCGTTGTAACGCTTGGAATCACGATGCGCCTTCCGATGTTCTCCTTGGCCACGCCTCCATCCCGCAAACAGCATGGCAGTGTGAAGAGATAACGTCGTGGAACAATCCAAGAGTTCAACGTTGCGGCCGAACTGAGTGCGCATTTCCCTGCGACGTGACGAACTAGCGCCACTTTGCGTAATGGCAAATCCGCAGCAACAGCAGCAGCGAGGAGCTCAGCTGTAGTGACTGCAATAACCATGATGCAAGTGATGATGCAAGTGTCTTCCGGCCCTGCGCCATTTTCGGCTAAGGATGCTCTATAAAGCATCTCCCAGGTAATGGTCTAGCACTGAAGCGGCCCGCCTTCGAGAGCAACCTGCATTCAACATACGCGTCAGATCTCCGCTTTTTGACGTCTTGCCAGTCAAGTTGTGAGGCAGAACAGCTGCATCTCGGTGAGTAATACTATTAGAATCCTGAATTGGAGTCGATGTTGCCATCGGGAGAACGATTGATTGCTCAGCGCTCAGCGGTAGACTTATTCGGAAACGACCCCACATTATCGACCACATTTAAGGCCCGCAATTGAGAGCGCGTCACGCAAGTCAACTTTCCCCATCAACCCAACATGTCTTCGACGGCAGCTGTCCCCAAGCTCTTCCAGCCTATCAAGGTCGGCGGGCGCATGTACGCTCATCGCGTCGTGATGGCGCCCCTGACGCGTTACCGTGCGAACAAAGCGCATGTGCACGGCGACCTTGCAGTCGAGTATTATGGTCAGCGTTCGACGGTTCCCGGGACTCTGATAATCACCGAGGCGACATCCATCGCTGCAAAGGCCGGTGGGTACAGGAACGTACCGGGAATCTGGAGTGACGAACAAGTAGTTGCGTGGAAGCGAGTCCGTACTTTACTATGGCGGGAGATAGTTTCGATGCGCAGCTCATATTGTAGATTGCAGGTGACCGATGCGGTCCACGGGAACGGTTCTCGCATCTTCTGCCAGCTATGGGCTCCGGGTCGGGCCGCTGATCCTGAAGTCCTTGAAGAGGAGGATCCATCGTTCTCTTTTGTCGCTCCTTCCGACATCCCGATGACGGGCAGCCCGAAGGCGCCTCGTCCTCTGACCATCTCAGGTACACGATTTCCTTGATTGTCACCATGCGTTCTCCTCTGATGTCAAATTCAGAGATAAAGGAGTATATCAAGCTATATACAACCGCCGCCAAGAATGCCATACGCGCTGGCTTCGACGGTGTCGAGCTTCACGGCGCCAATGGCTATCTCGTCGACCAGTTCCTGCAGGACGTGAGCAACAAGCGTATTGATGAGTACGGCGGATCGATCGAGAACCGCAGCCGCTTTGCTCTCGAGATCATTGACTCTGTGACGAACGTGATCGGCGAGGAGAAGATGGGTATCAGACTCAGCCCGTGGGGTGAGGTCCAAGGTATGCTGTGGAAGCATCCTAACACTGTGGCAGATGACGACGTCCACGGATAGATATGCGTATGTCGGACCCAAAGCCCACGTTTTCGTACCTGGTGTCGCAGATCGCCGCACAGTACCCAAACTTTGCGTACATCCATGTCATTGAGCCGCGCGTGAACGGGAACGAGGACCGTGTTCCAGAGGCAGGCGAGGTAAGTTTCATTGCATTGGCCCCATCAGAACGTTGTCACTGATGATCTATCATGCAGAGTAACGACTTCCTGCGCACGATCTGGGCGCCACGTAGATTCATCAGCTCGGGCGGACACAATCGCGAGACTGCGTTTGAGACGGCTGAGAAGAACGGTGACCTCGTCGCGTTCGGACGATTCTTCATTTCCCACGTAGGGCGTCACATCACGATCTACTTTTCCTCGTTCGTTGACCTTGTTATGCCTAGCCTGATTTGCCGCTGCGTCTCGCGCAGAACCTGCCGATTTCGAAGGGAGACCGCGACACGTACTACACTAAAGAGGATCCGCATGGTTACATCGACTATCCGTTCGCTAACGACACGCGGATCAAACTGTAGAGGATGTCAACGCACACGGAAACGTTCTTAGCCTACTGTTAGAAAGAAGGTATCTGAGATGCAGCTGCAAGCTTCATTGTGCTAAAATCCATTTTAATGCAATATAGCACATAAAGCCACTCGTACTAACGATATCACAAATTTAACTTGCAGATGTGAGTGTGGCGTCTATCACAATTTATTGCATGCAAATAAGAGCAGCTTGTGCCTAGACATGATTCAACATGAGAATATGGGATTGCCAGAATCAAATTGTGGTAGTTAAGGATGCTACAGCCCACGATGCATCTCCGGATGAACAAACACGTATGCATGAGACTGCTCGATCAATTATCATGCCCAGTGACCCGCTGTTTCCCACCTTCCGAGCCAGTCGAAGCGACACTCATCGCTGTCAATACAGGTGTGGTTATCGTCGTCCCCGGCATATGGGGGGGGAGGCGATGAACAAGTGGGCGCGTGATGGAGGGCAAGTCTCATGAAACATATATTCTTGCAATGACATTCATGTATATTTCAGAGGCCATGTACGTGAAAGGGTCTCGCACCGTTTGTCAATTACGAGTTCTTCATCGAACCTTGTTCTCACAAGGCTTCCTGCACAAAATATGAGTCCTACGTCCCTTCATCGATGCAGGTGAACAGAACCGCGATAGCATATCCGGTACAGCTGAGAATTACGGATAATGTTCAGTTTAGGGGAGGACGTGCGATAACACGGTGGAAGGACCTGTTCAATATAGCATCGCCCGTCATGGTCGAACTTGTATGACGTACTATTCATCGTTGGCATTTCTTGATGTAAGCTCAAATGAGCTAGTAAAGGCGGATTTGCCCCCTCACTTTGTCGATCTGACATAACGAATGTCCCATGAGTATAACGCGGGCCATGGTGGCGCTGTGGCGTCCGTCGATCCGACAACAAAATAGTTGCTCCATCTCAGTATGGTTCGGTCAGCGAGACACGGCGTGATATGACAAGGCACGCGATGGATGCAACTTTAGCTAAATGACATGATGGAACACTGCTATCAACTTTGAAGGAGCGACAGGGAAAATCACAAAACTATGAGGTTGAAACAGGTAACGATCGTTCATAAGCAAGTTGGACGCAGACATGAGAGTCAGACATGGAACAGGGGAAGGAGTGACAAGCATCTAGTTGGAAGCATCGATCACGGAAGTGAGTGAAAAAACTGGAACAAAAGAGAGATGACGTTGAAGTATTCGGCGGCGGGTCCATGACTGGAATAAAATCCAGCAGTACAAACAACAGGGTAAACCAGAGCTGAAACGCTTGATGGGACACCCTCATCTGTCGATCTAAACATCTTGCTGCCCAGGCTTGAGGAGCAACTCATCCACTTGCTCCTCAACGACTTTCTTCTTCTTCTCGTCTAGCCGAGCGGAACGCCGAGCCGGTGTCGTGGGCGGAGTATTCAATCCAGCGACGTTGTCCGATGCCCGTTTCTTCGGCGAGGCCTTTGGAAGGGTCGAACGGCTCATGTGCGTTTTCGGGGTCCGAGGCGTCTTTGCCTTCTTCTTTACAGGAGATTTGCCCTTAGTCCGCCGCTTAGGAGTGCGGGGGATGGGTTTGAGGGACAACGGAGCAGATACAGTTACAGGGAGCCAGATGTCGCCATCTTCTTCCTCGAGGTAGGGATCTTTGTAAGGCACGAGCGTCCCATCATCAGGTCTGCATAGAGTTGTACCATCAGATCGATTATACCCTGAAATAAGAGACCCAGCGTACTCAAGAAGCGAGAATGCTTCTTCCCTGAGAGGAGTCGCCCATCTCTGGGACTGAGAAACGGGAGAATGATATCTGTATTTCTCATCTTCCATGAATTGGCTCCGCATTCCCTCGTAGATCCGGTCCCTGAATATTAAAGTGAGAAAGAATGGCAGAAGCCAACGGGGATCTGCACACCAGTAATTGGCATTCGTTTCATGAACGTTTGAGAGTGGCCAGTTGACAGGTTCGCTATAGCCGAGACTGCCATTTAATTAACGGTGCATTGAAAACAGATCACGGAATCGCGTACTGACCTATCAGACTCCGCATGACCTGACTCTATGCCCAATGAGGCGTCTAGAAAGGAGGAGCCTTCCTCTGCTGAAACATACAGTTCCTGATGAGAGCCACCGTCGCCAGTATTTCCTGTAGGAACATCGATTGCAGGAAAATATGCACTCTCAAAGAAGCCTTGTGGAACGAGGACATTTGACAACTCAAGGCCGCCGTGAAGGTGAGCGCTGATGTTTTCTTCTGGGTCCGGCATCAGCTTCTCCCCATTGTTTTCCGGCGCATTAGGCTGAAGAGAAGCCGACAGTGTCGATGCACCAGACAGCTCATTCGATGTCGACATGATTCCCAAAGGAGTAGAAGCAGAATAGCTAAGATGATCCCAACAGCGGAGAGCACGACGACAGCAAATGTCTAGGGCCCTCATTTATATAGGTCAGCGCGAGAATGAGCAAGCCGAAGTGGCATTGATGCCCTGATGGGATACCAGCCACATCGATGTGACGGGGTCAAACATGTTCCACGAGATGCCGGTGGCAGGGCCACAGACACGAAAACGTGTTCCCACCGCGGGAGGCTGTCGATAAGCTTTACCTCTAAGCAAAGTAAGAACGATAATCACGGAAAGTCTACCAACGAGTGGCCCTTACTTTACGGTCTCGCTGCACTGTCAAACTGAATTGAATGATTTGCGCGCTTGGTACCCGCAATTTCTGCACCGTTCGGCCATAATACAGACAGCCGTTGGCCACACCAAGTGCCACCGAAAAATTCAACGAGCCACCGCCACGCCAATGTGAAGAGTTGACTCAGCTTGTCATGGCCGCGGCCTAGGTGCTGCCTAGTCGACTCCCGCATTGTTGGACAAAGGAAAACGTACCTGACTTCTGTATTTCACATCCTCTCTTTAGACCTCCTCTTCCGCCTTTCAGCTGAGCTGTTGCCGTCTCTGCTTCAAGCTCTGGCGTGTTGCATTGGATGGCCATTTGAAGAAATTTTACAATAGGGAAGCCTCGGCGCCATTCATGATACTTTGATGATTTATTGTACGTTTTCAATGCCATCGATCAAGCATTCATTGCTATTGAGCACATTCTTCATAGATACTAGTACAAGAGCGGGAAGATATTGCGCAAACCATTTCCTACGGACGTATATAGAAGAAACGATCCGTACGCTATTCTGGAACTCGCGGTCTGTCAGCAATCAATGACAAGAGGACAAATGGAATCAAAGATGGCGGGCGACTCACACGAGCTTGAGAAAACAGCGCTCCTATCCGATCAACAAATCATCATAGCCAGGCATACCGCACCGTTGCCCTCGGTCTCTCCATCCCCTATTAGGATCCTCGAGTCTCGCCAGCACTTCCGCCCACGCACAGCACATGCCGGCAACGCCTTCATACAGACTGTACGGCTCATCCGGCACATGCATCTCGCCCTCCCGCTCGAGCACCCGGTAGTTTATTGCAAGCTGGGCAAGGTGTACGGCGCGGGACAGCCAGTACGTGTCTTCTGAAGAAGAGGGAACTTGCCCATGGTCGAGCGCATCCGACACGGCAAGCAGGGCGTATACGCTGCCTGCGACGCCGTGGCAGAGCCCGAGGCCCTTGCGAAGGAATCCGCGTGTGTAGACGAGCTCGCCGCCCCTGCGGAGTGCAGCGACCATACCCTCCTGAAGTGGCGAGGGCAGCTCCATACTTCCCGAATGAGGGCAGCGTGTTAGTAGCGTTGACAGTAGGATCAGTACGCCTGGAGCTCCGTGGCACCATCTACGATACTCATGAGTGACGCACAGCGACAGAGTACAAGGCCACATACTGTATCAACGCATCCTCATTCCCCTCTTCGACACTCACTCGTTTAGCACGCCTACTTGTAGCGCTCCCTCCGGATGCATAGTACAGGTGGCGTTCCGCTGTGGATGGCCAATTACCAAGGGGCTGCTGGATAGCAAGCAGCCAATCGATTGTTCCAATTATGACTGACCAGTGCGGTGCAACGGCATTCGACGGTGATGAAATCAGCATCTGGAGGATGCCAGCTGATGGAAGCAATCAGTGGGTCTTGTCCTCTTGCTGAATTACACCACCCACCCGTTCCATGCACTCCGCCGACATAACGCTTTCCATGCCAGCTCCACATAAGAGGTGGCCCTCGTCCGCGTTCGTCGACATCCAGCTGTTCTTTATACTCCTCTGCTCCAACTTTGCCACGCTTCACTATATCGTTGACTAGCGCCTGGATATTCTGATCTGCGCACAAGTGTTCAACCGTCTGTCTGATTGGGCTCCCCTCTCTTTCGTTCCGTAACTCAGAACCAACAAATGAGTTGAGAGCTGACCGGAGCAGCAAGAGCGCGTAGAGGAGCCCCGCCCGTCCATACAGCACCTCGCATCCATCGTCATCTAGTCTTTCATCGAGCGCCGCCTCAACCGCATCCATCAGCACTCTTGCACAGTCTTCCAAAATCACAGCATTAATTCGATTCTCTTGCTTGCCGCGATCACCGGTGCTTGACTCTGACAGTAATCGAATTTCTCTGGCCAGGATAAGAGTGGCTGGACCAGTGGCAGTCTCCAGGAAGGATGAACGGGAGCCAGAGTGCGGAACAGAGACATGGCCAACTGCAAGGAGTGACGCAGGCGTCGACGGAACCTCCAATCTTGGGATGAGAGAGGACACCTTCCATTTCATCAGAGTGGTGCCTGCATCGACGGTCAGGAACACCACATCGTAGCAGTGTACTGCACTCACCCGCTAACCCGGTATACACGCTGGGCTCAGACGATGGATGCCTCAACACCCTCTGTATAGATTGGGCCAATGCATCCTCGATTTCACCAGTGATAGCGTTTAAATTCGCAGGAGGTTGGTTTGAGTGAACGATGTAGCGTGAATGGTGCATATCGGCAGCCTTGCAGTCTGCCTCTGATGGGGCTGTCGGTTTGTGAGCTCCTAGCTATGGGCTGTGTTTATACAACTTGAGATGATGACCCGCGCGCTGACGTCAGGCGGAGAATCATTAATCAGCCCTTGACAACCTTCACCCGGTGCGTATTCAAATATCTAACGAGTCTGACCTAGTGCTCCTCAGTCCTGAGTCAGTGGACGTCGGGGAGCTTGAAAATATCTGACGAGAGAGCGGCGAACGCTTTTGGAGAGACATGATGATTGACCGTGCATGAGCTCGAACGCCTTTGGACCACGAGCATGCCAGCCGTGCTTGTGTAGTAGAACTTGAATGACTCTATTCGAGTACGAAGGGCGCAAACAATATACGCACACGTGACTCAGCGCCTGCCAGGACGGGCCCAAAAGACTATGGGCCATAGCATCCAACGCACTGAATGAACAACTGCGTGAATCCAGAACCGATGAGCAAGAAGGATTCGCAATGGCCCAGATTAAGTGTCTGATGACGAAGGAGGACCTCGTCCTCGGCCGAAGGTATCCGAAATGGCGAGTAGGGCGTAGACACTATATGCGATTGTCGTTACTCGTAGCAGCGACCAAGGTCATTGCGAATGAACTTACGTTCACTCATGAGCTCCCCGCCGGTCCGAACCGCAGTTGTGAAACGTTGACGTAGGTTTAGGTCGAAGGAATAAAAGGTGCGTGTCGGCAGTGCTGACAGAAAAGCACCAGTGTAGGTTTGGGTCGGAAGAATGAAAGGTGCGTGTCGGCGCTGCCAATAGGCAGGTCGAGACTCCGGAGCTCCATGGCACGTCTGGTAACAAATATGAGCACGTCGCATGGAATGAAGTACTGACAGAGCAATGCACCTCTAAAACTTCTTCCAACTTGTTGCTACTCTGTATCGTCCGGGCCATACGTTCTTGCGAAGTGACACCGGGCGCATGTATGAGATTGAGCGTGATTGAGCGACCCAGAGACATGTACGAGCCTAAGGCATACAAGACTATCAAACATCCGAGGATGCCCGTCAATTCACAATTCAACTCGAGAGGATCGCAAGACCGCGCGGCGGTTTCATCGCGGTCACATGATCGACGCGTCGCGCGTCGATCGCGTCTCCGTTTCGGACTCCGCCTTATAAGGACCCGCCCACCGTTCACCCACCTCAATTCCTGCCTTGTCTTATCTTCTATCGCAGTCTTCATACCATCGGATGTCTGAAATTCTTTCATACCACGGGCTTGTCGGCTCTGCAAACCGGCAGATCTGTGCGTGGTAGCCATTCTGTGATGGCATAACTCATCGTTGTGCACGTTCATTTCGCTCACTCGGTATATGCGCCCATTTCTTAGGTTAACAGCTCAAATATGCCATGGGGAACTGCCTTGATCGGCTTGAACTGTCAGCAAAGCGAAATACTACGCGCCGCACATTTTAACTGATGCCGCCCACGGCACACCTTCACTTACACCCATACATAGGTACATCAGGCCATCCAATCAGATGCGGGCCCTTCTATCTACGTCGGCATGGTCTGGAAGCATTCTCGGGATGATCGATCATTAGCCGTCTCCGCAGCAGGCTTCTCTCCAGTGCAATAGCACCGCCTTGTGCTCAGCACGTCTCGTTCTGACACGACGTACCTTGGGCTGCTCTCTATCCGCCCTTTGTGTCTGGAGGTTCTATGTAATCAAAACTCTCAGGCGTGCAGCTCATATTTATCATCGGTGCGTAGGTGCAATTTCCCATGACCTCGGTCCTCATGTTCGGCGCACGTATTCTAGGATGAAGAACACATGGCAGTAGAATCTGAACACACATCAGCAAGAAACGCTGGGCTTCGCGCGACTGGTCATCCCCGCCAATGTGGCGTACGACCATAAAGCATATCAGTAAAGGCGTGACGATCAGGCGACGGGTCATGCTGATTTTTTCGAGAGAATCAAGGTGAGCATGGTGCATCTGTTGAGCCAACAATCATTAGGATACGGCGCCCTGCAGACATGAGGCTGATATGTGATGAACTCGTGCAGAGGTCTCGTGTACAAAGAAGTCAGCTTCGCGCGAATCAGAGCGGCCCACGCACCAGAGGCTCGGTCGACTCCCACCTCCGCCGAGTCAACCTTTCTCAGCATCGGTGCTATTCATAACGGAAGCGATCAGTCTATCACATGGACTGATCGGGGCTATACGCAAATGTCGTACGAAGTGCTGAGGCACAAAGGCCCACAAGGCTTCATCCTGTTTGCAAGTGACAGACTGACTGGAGTAAAGCAGGTAAATGCAGATTATTGCAGGCCTTGAAGCTACCCGGACCATCAAATTCGCTAGGATTTTGATTTAATTCCGCCACAACCGCTCGTGCTATTTTTGTCGAGCTGGTGCTATTTATGCGCGTTCATGGCTTCTCCCTGCGTCCTCCAGCATGATGGATGCAAGCGAAGGCCAGCTTCGAGGCGACGCACCGTGGTGGAATTGAAGTAACGGATCAATGACAAAAGGGGTGAAGGAATCGAGGGTAGTCACTGGAACATCTGCCGGCCTCAGCATAGCCGAAGTGGGAGAACATCCCAGCTTCCAAATTTAAGCGAGCAAGAGCGCCGGAGATGACGAGCCAAGGGAATGAGGGAATGGCCTAAAAAGAGTCGAGAAAAGCCGCGGCGACTCTGGGATGAAGGAGTGGCGGCGAGGACTCACCGTAGAGAACTCTAGCTCTGCGATTTTCCTAGCCGATTTTCAGGTAATTCCGACGCGCGCCAGTCTGGCGGCAAATCGCGGCCATGAAAATGATCGGTGCGAAACGGCATCGCGGCAGAACCCCGTCACAATATCCTTCTTCTCAATCCTTCGGCCTCACAACGTCAACGTTGTTTGTTCGTCCCACACACTCCTTTCCAGTTTTCGACGGCAGCACCGTGCTGCCCATTCTCTCCCTCTGTAAGGGTCATCGACGTTCGCAAATTCTTAAAGGATGTTGCATCGCCAGCTATCGCTGCTGGCGGTATCTCTGGCGGCCGTCGCCCCTTCGACGCTTGCTCATACGGCCGGAACCTTCGAGGATGGAGGCCACACGCTTGTCAGCGCTATGATGGTGCGTGAACTTTCCGTCGGTCCCGCGATATCGGTCACAACTTTTCGTGTAAGATGTTCTTGGGCAACGAGGAGATTGTGTACATTCTCGACAAGGCAGAGGGCAATGCCGCACAGATCAACGGGCACCCCGCGTGGGGCGCAGCCTACAACATTGGCAATCGGTCGGCGGTTCCTATGCAGGTCTACACCAACACGTTCTGCGCGTCCGGCATGCACCTGCCCAACGGTTCGTACGCAACCTTCGGCGGCAACGGCGCTGTTGGTCCGGGCGGCGACATAGGCAACGTGCTCGCTCCAGGCGGCTATTCCGCGACGTACGACACGGTATACGACGACGCCTCGGGCTCGACGTCTATTCGTGTCCTGGACCCATGCTCATGGTCGGACTTGAACAACACCGAGTGCGCGTGGTACGACAACGCGACGGTGCTGCATATGCAGCAGCAGCGGTGGTATTCGGCAGCGGAGCCGCTCGGAAATGGAACGGTCGCGATTATCGGCGGCTTCGTCGAAGGAGGCTACGTCAACAGGAACTACCCGAACGAGGACCCGGAGTTCGAGGGCGGCGCAGCGAACCCGACATACGAGTTCTACCCGAGCACGGGTGAGGCGACGGTCATGAACTTCATGATCAAGACATCCGGTCTCAACTCGTATGCGCACGCGTACATGATGGCGTCTGGCAGGATGTTCCTGCAGGCGAACATCTCCACTAGTGAGTGCCGCGTTGTCAGTTTGGCAGATGTGTCGCTGACCATATGTCCTTTGCAGTCCTGTGGGAGCCAGATACGAACACGGAGTACGATCTGCCCAACATGCCGGACAATCTCGCCCGCGTGTACCCTGCGTCCGGCGCTACGGCGATGATGCCGCTAACGGTTGCCAACAACTACACACCCTCTGTTCTGTTCTGCGGCGGCACGGACATGGACGACTACGCGTGGGGGAACTACTCATGGCCCTTCATCAACACGTTCTACTATCCCGCCTCGGCCAGGTGCCACTACATCACCCCGGAGTCGGACTCGCCGCAGTATATTGAGACGGACCCGATGCCGGAGTCTCGGACGATGGGACAGTTCATCCACCTACCCGACGGCAAGATGCTCGTCGTCAACGGTGGAGAGAACGGCACAGCCGGGTACTCGAAGATGACTCTGTTGATTCAAAGCTGGGCAGATATGCCGTACGGCGAATCGCTCGCTTCCGCCCCCGTCGGACGTCCTGCAGTCTACGATCCGACGGCGGAGGCAGGCTCACGTTGGTCTACTACAGGCTTTGACACGTCCAACATTCCTCGCCTGTACCACTCGTCTGCCATCTTGTTGCCCGACGCGTCGGTGTTGATCGCAGGCTCTAACCCCAATCTCGACGTTAATACCTCGACGACCTTCCCCACGACGTACCAGGCCGAAGTGTTTTATCCCTCGTACTTCTCGGCGACGACACGTCCCACGCCGCAGAACGTGCCCAAGAATCTGTCTTACGGCGGCGATCATTTTGATGTCCTCGTTCCCCAATCGTCGTACTCTGGCAGTGCGAACGATGCAGCTGACAACACGACGGTGTGGCTGATCCGTCCGGGATGGACCACCCATGGCATGAACATGGGCCAGCGCTCCATGGAGCTCAACACCACTTACACGGTCAACAGCAACGGGTCTATTACGCTGCACGTAGCGCAGCCTGTCCCGAACCCGAACCTTTTCCAGCCGGGTCCGGCTCTTTTGTTTGTTACTATGTCAGGTATTCCCAGCAATGGCACGATGGTACTCATCGGCTCCGGCGAGTTCGGCACCCAGCCAACGTACGCTGCATCCAACTTGCCTTCCAATGAACGCCTGGACGGCGTGTCTGGGTCTGCAGGCAACAGCAGCAGCGCTTCCAGCAGCTCCAGTTCGAGCTCTGGCTCTGCCTCCGGCAGTAGCGCAACGGGCAGTGCGGCGCAGAAGAGCGGTGCGTCTCACACAGGTGCCATCGTTGGCGGGATTATTGGCGGCGTCGCCCTTGTCGGGATTCTTGGTGCGGTTTTCGGTGTTTATTTGGCTCGGCGGAGACGCAGCGTCGCCCAGCAAGCCCCCGGCTCGATGTACGCTATGTCTGCGGCCGGAGGCGCGGGCGGCGCTATGGCCAATCGCGTTATGCGCCATTCTGACTCGAGTGCCTTTGTGCCATTGCAGCAGGATAACAGGAGTAACGCATGGGACACAACAGGCAATGCGAGCAGCGTCAGCCTGCAGCCGTATCAAGACGAGCCACGCACTGAATCCGATTCATATTACCAGAACCCACCGCGCACTAATGCTGCGGCGGTGCGATACTAGAGATAGGTGCTTTTTAATGACCGGACTTGACTCTTTAGGTTACGTTCTCTATCCGTGTCTCTCACGCTCCTTCAACGGCTACTCTGTCAACGAGGGTAGGATAGTTGATCGGGATTGTGAGTGCTCAATGGACTGTTCCGCGTGTACATCTCTTTCTCATCTCGTTTTTCGCTTTGTATGACGTATACCCTTCCTGTTGTCCTGTGTACTTCGTTGTAGTTTTGCGATTGTACGCAACTAGATCCTCAAGCAACATCTCCCTGAATGACCGAGATGCTCACTACGACACGTTTCTTTACTGCTCTTTATACATGTTGACACATTATTGGACTTTTGCCGACCCTGTAGGACCGGGAAGGATCCGGAGAATTGGGGAGGGGAGAGAGGATGAACAAAGAAGACTGTTTGTCATTCGTTGCAAAATGCTGTATCCCGTCCTTGATAATGTTCCTATCTTTTGCAAAGCACAAATATTCCCGAGAGCCGATCCTCGCTGCGCGGATAAAGGCCTCGTATGAGACAAGTAGGTATGGAAACTTTCGCCAAAAACTTGCGGGGAATCCGTATGATGCAGGAGTCCCTTCTTTCCGCCTAGATTCTGCTGCTAGGTAGTACCGGGGAGCAAGCTGTCGCTGCGACATGTATCTGCTATCTCATCTGACAATTGGGTTCACACCTCTGGCAGCGAGATAATCCTTCGCTGCGGTAGCACTCTGGGTGCATAGTGAGACCATGAGGTGGTAAATACAATCATATAACGTACGAGGCCCTTGACCAACTCGTAGACACTCTTATCGTGATACCGCAGACCAGTGGCTGGATCTGTGTAGGGTCCCTGATTACAAGCGTGTCAGCTTGACAACGGTCCAACGAAATTCAGAAACTCACTTCAAGGCCTGTAATGTCACAGTACCGCTTCTGAGGCAGCACCGAAGGTGGCGCCTCTATCGATGAATCTGAGTGTGATGTCTTAGTGAAAGGCCTACTCGGCAATTATTGAGATATTTACACGTAGGCATGTCTTCATCAGAAGTACCATCAACCTGTTCGCCATCGATATCCATGCTCTCTTCCTTCTGTTGTCGTCTTCGTTCTCGTTCCTGCCGTTCTCGTTCACGTTCCTGCGTGAGGACTGCCTTTAGGTTTTTAGTCCTACGGCTAGCATTCTTAGTATAGTTCGGGTTCTTGAACGGTCTTGGCTTGTTCATGTAGGAAAATTGTTCTACAAGAGACTGATGACAGGTCAATGAAACAATACAGCGCAACCCGCAAACGTACGACTACTGGAGGTGTGGGTGATTCATCGCTTGTGATAGCGACATTTTTCCGTTTGAATGAGCCCTTCGGAGGCCTTTTGACGACAGAATATGTTGACTCTTAATACAAACTCTCCGCAATGCAACAAATGACTCACATTTCGGAAGGTGCGTTGAGACGATGGTGAGGGTGGCCTTCAGATCTTGATCTTGATCAAAATAGTGATCACGTGACTGAACGGCCAAAATCAAAGAATAATTCTTGCCCAACAGCCATAGTACCTCGACCGACGTCTGCACACTGTTTCTACTGGAGTTATGGACAATCTAATCGCCAAGGGTGGTGCTTTAGGATTTGCGCGGAAGAGGCGGCGAATACACCGTGACGATCCGAAACGAAAACCGGATCCTTCGACTATTACATCCACATCCACATCGAATGACCGCACTTTGAGCTCCGTTGCATTGCATACGAACCTACCGAAATCTCTGCGTTTGGACTCATTACCTTTGGAGGGGACCCTCAAATATTCGCACATACAGAACAAGAAACTCCGTGCACAACTCGCTCGACAATCGGCACAGTCTGCACGGGCAAAGGCTCTCGTCAAAGATGCGGAATTATTGCTTACCGAGGAGGCAGGCATGATGGAGCTAGAGGAAGAGCTAGAGAGGACATGGAGAATTGGACAAGACGAGATTGCTCATGCGGCAGGACAGGAGGCAGCGAAAGGAAGGAAAGAATGGAAATTAGATGGTGGCCCGTACCGCTCGAGGTACACACGGAATGGAAGGTATGTCGCTGTCTTTCATTGGTGTTCGTTGTCGTGAGGTGGAAATTTGCTGCTTCATGCCAATCTACCAAGCCGTCTGAGTTTTTGAACTATTCACAGGCATCTCGCGATTGTCGGTAGGAAAGGCCATGTCGCTACCTTTGACTGGCAGACAGGGACGATGCATGCAGAGCTGCAGTTGCGTGAGACATGTAGAGATATCACGTACGTCCTCGTCCTAAAATTTGGTACAACTGCTATATATCATGTCTCCAGGTTCCTCCATGATCATACACATTTCGCTGTGGCGCAGCAGAAATACGCCTACATATATGACCGAGATGGCGTCGAACTCCACTGCCTAAAGGCACATATCGAGCCTACAAGATTAGAATTTCTTCCCTTCCACTGGCTGCTGGCGAGCATTGTACGTTTACTCAGCGCCTACGAGTCTTATTCGGGACTCACTTGTCTACAGGGTAATGCGGGCTATCTCAAATACCAAGACACGTCCACCGGACAGCTCCTAGTCGAGCACCGTACCAAGCTTGGGGCGTGCAATACCATGACGCAGAACGTGCACAACGCCGTCATCCACCTGGGCCACCAGAACGGGACTGTCACTCTCTGGACGCCGAATCTTTCCCACCCTGCCGTGCGTCTGCTCGCGCATCTTGGCCCTGTCGTCAGCGTCAACGTGGACCCGAGCACTGGCGGGCGATACATGGCAACCGCAGGCCAGGATGGCGTGGTGAAGGTGTGGGACTGCCGAAATTGGAAAGGAGCAGTGAGACAGTGGAATGCAAGGGGAGGCGGCGGAGAGCTTGAGTGGAGCCAGAAAGGCGCGCTTGCGGTTGCCACGGGAGGGAGCGTGAATGTGTGTCATCTGTAGTACGCGGCACTTGGGAGGATATTGACATACTCGCCTTCTGCAGGTGTACACCAAACCCTCGATACAGACGCCTTTCAGCGCATCAGTGTCACCGCCGCTGTACCTCACCCATCCGATACCCCATAGACCGCTATCCTCCGTTCGGTTCTGCCCATTTCATGATATTCTTACCATCGGACACGCAAAGGGTCTCTCGAGCATCCTCGTCCCCGGATCCGGCGAGCCGAACTTCGACAGCGCCGAAGCAGATCCGTTCGAGAACAAGCGGGCGAGGCGGGAGAGGGAGGTCAAGAGTCTGCTGGACAAGGTAAGCATATTTCAACGACGCCGGACACTGCACTGCTGACAGCATCTATCATAGATTCAACCCGACATGATCATGCTGGATCCCGAGTTTGTCGGCTCGCTGGCTCCGCCGCCGAAACTGTCAACTGCGGTGGATGGCGATGCGGATGTCTCCTTCGCACGCCTGCCTCGGCTCGAGCGCTTGCGTGTGCAAGGCAAGGCTGATGAGACCGAGGAGGGTGACGAACAAGATGGCGAAGGAGATGCAGAAGACGGCGATAAGGCTAACCGGAAGCTCACGCGCGAAGAGAAGGAGAAGAAGAAGATGCGGGGGAAGAACAAGGCGCTCAAAAGGTGCGTACTTCTGCGCATGTAATGAATTTGTCTTATACATTTCCCTCAGATATCTGCGTAAGCAACGCAAAAACGTGGTCGATCCACGGGCGGTAAGTGCTTGGCGACGCTTTCCATCTTCACGTCTTGTTGATATTTGCTTAACAGGTCGCAGTTAAGGCGAGGCTCGACAAGCAGAGAAAGGAAAGAGAAAGAGCCAAGACCGCTGCAATTGCGACAGAGGAGCCGCGGAAACCGTCAGCGCTGGATCGCTTCAAGAGGCCTGCTTGATAGTATCTCTTTTGGTATTAAAATGTGCTGTGACGTATTACATAGCGCAGCAATTGAGCACGAATAGGCCCTCGACTGATTCAACAATTTGTAGGATGGATCTGATCAAAGCACTTTCATTTAGTAAGCCCATTTTCGTGTCATTGCATGGATCCTGCTCCAAACGCTGCAACAGATAATCTGTTTTTACTAAGTTAGGTATATCTGTGAACTTCTCACGCTCGTGTCATAACGGCTAAAGTGCCGTGTCACCAGCATGAGTTCGTCTAGCCTTCTCGCGCTCTCTGCACTGATCTCGATAACTTCGTCTTCCAATGATGACTCTCCGAACCGCATTGGCGGGAGCGGTGGGCTCGGAGGCCTGTCGTGGTCGTAGTCCACGTTTTCTTCGCTTTCTTCAATCACTGTCACGTCCGGACTGGGTGAATCCGGATCATGGCGCATTCGGAGTTCATGATGTCTTCCAGCTTTCTGGATGTGAAGCTACGAGTTGGTTCTTAGTGAAAGTATCACATGTCAGCACGGACAAACACCAACCAGCATTCGACAGCCGAGTATAGAATTGGTCACTATGGAGAGCCTGAGTGCATCGCCACGTTAGCGGATTGATAACTGATTCGCACTACAGTTGCTGTACTCACGGGATGAGGCCGAAGAATAGTGCAATTTTCTGCGAATGTCACTCATGTTAGACAAAAAACAAGCGCATTTTTTCATTTGCTCACCTGTGTTTTCCAGACGATAAAATTCGCCAAAATTGCAGCGAGAGCACCCCCAAAGTAAAACATCGAGTCTCTGATGAGCACCATCATGAGGTATGGTGTGGAGGTGTCCTCCCGCGACTGCTGCACGGTCTTGATGACGGATAGTGCGAAGAGCACGCTCTCGAACACTAGCACTGGAACCCAGTACGCCCAGGCCCAGGAGCGAGTGGGGATTGCGATGCAGCCGGTCAGCTGGGAGCGCAGTCCGATCACTGCATAAGATGACAGATGAACGTCCAAGTCATTATGAACCATACGTGACTGACCTTCGAGACTGTATATGACATCGCAGATTATAGCTGACTCTGTAGCAAATTCCAGCAGAAAGAGTACGCATAGGCCGACCAGAAGGCGGCGATCACAGCGGTACATAACGTACAGTCTCATGATGAGGATCGCTATTCGTGGAAATAATTAGCGCAATGAGAGATGTCGCAATGCCCACAGAGTACACAAAGTCACTTACCAGAAATGATGATACGACTCAGTAAATATGCGTAGAGAAACCAGTTGAACCAGAATTTACAACTTAACGTCTGTTAGTGTTCTCGCTATCCGATTCCAACTGCCCTAAAGGACATACAACTAAAAGCGAGGACAGTCTATTCAGTTTTTTCCATCGTGGATCGTGCGCGTGTCGCGATTTTACTTACTGTGAGATCGGAGGTGTGGTTGGCTCCCATTACTAGCTCAGTAATCAGTGCTTAGCATCAAGTTTTCGGTGACTGATGAAGAGTACTCATACCAATATTATCGAATCTGCACTAGCATTAGTGGTCTGTTGGGAATTCATGTGCCACCGGGACGTACACGATATTCAGCAGTCTGCGTTCCATTCCACATGGTAAGATAGGAATTTGTCGAAGAACCACTACAACTCACGGCCAGTATCTATTCTGGAAAGAAAATTATTCAATAGACAGAAGGCGCTTCCAAAATCGTACTCACCGCGAAATAAAGAATGCGCGTCCATACGAAACGGCCGCGCCACATGAACTCGACCTGTGTCGAATGACTGGCTTAGCCCGGTGCGGTCAAAACTGAACCCTTCTATAACGACTCACTTCGTAGTCTAGGGTGAGAGCTAATGACAGAGATTACTGGCTCAAGGAAGAGCTGGTGAGTGATTGGGAAAGTTTCACTTGCCAACGTCATATACCAGCAAGGCCAGTGACAGCACTACGGAGAAGGTCATGTCAGTAGCTTGACCGCTCCATCCTGTATAGTGCAGCGTACTCCAAAACATTCGATTTGTGCGATATGCGTCTCCGGATGAATTTAAGTTGTACAATGTGATGATTTCCGCCTGGTTTGGTTCATCATCCATCCTGAAGGGACAAGCGAAATGCGGAAGGGATGAACGGGGTCGAGCAGGTCCGAGGTCCCCGACGAGTGACCAGTGTTATATGAGCTGCCGACGATGGGATGCATGTATGATGATCATGATGTGCCCCGGTCTGAGACATCTCTCTCACGTTGAAACAGATCATCAAAATTGTTCGGCCCCCTTGAATTCTATCATCACAGTTTCAAGCTCTCGTTGTGGTGCCGCATAGGATGCGGAGGCTGAAGTTATGCATGCAGATGCAGCATGATCGACCGCAGGATCCAGGGCAGCTCGTTTCGCTGTACGAGGAAAGCTGGCTCAGTTTTTAGAGCGCATAAATCAGATCCGTGAGCGATGAACTGATGGCAGGCGAATACGAGGAACATCTCACTCCGTGGTTCGCAAGGCTGTTCCTCCGAAAAGCTCCAACTAGTCAACGGTTGATCCGGAGTTCAAGAAAGGCGTCACATTTCCCAGTAAGCACTCGGCGTGGTTCATTCCCTGCCAGTCAGTGGTTTGCAATGCAATAGAAGCCTCACTTCAATTCTGCTGTCCATCGTCGTGACATGAGCTAAAGAGACAGTACGACAGAGGCAGTGAGGTCTTTCGGCAGACATCGTAGTACCGATAGAGGATACAGAAATCATTCTCTATCAGTACCATTGCACCTCGAGCAAGCGGATCAACAGCTTTCTATGACGCTCACACTTCGAACCATACCCTGCGAGTGTCAAGAAGATGAGTTAGAAAGGCATAGTGACCAGAGGGGGAGATTCACGCTGTCGGTGTGACATCGCGCGACTGTGATGCATATATCCGACCGTGACTCTCAGTCTCTAATCGGACTCCCTCTGAGCCAAGCTGTCAGCTTACACTAAGCGTCAAGGTGCAAAGTTAAATCTCGAGGAGGTTGTACTGCTAGTCATGAATGCGTGGAACAACACCACCGGGAAGTTGAGTCACGCTATCCTCAGTCATTTGTCATTTGGCAGAATATCCTGAGACTCGCAGCTCCGTAGGATTTTCTGTATGAACTGCAAGTCCGTGTCTGTAGCGTGCTATTCACGCTCGATGATGTGCATCTTACTCGAACGACGTTATGCCGGCCAAAGGCCTTGCTCAACTTGAGCGTCAGCTGAAGCCAGGTGGCCACCGTTGAACTTCGCGCACGTTTTGGAGTTTTCCGCTTAAAGCATCATATTTCGAGCACCCATCACGGTGAATGGACGTCCTGTGTACTGATACCATGTGTATGTGCACTAGCTGAGCACAAGGAAAGGGTAATGCAAAGGACAAATCCAACTCAAGTCCGTTGTTGATGCGCTCTGGTCGCTGACTGCATAACATTGCTTCGCCCTAACATAAATTTTGTTTATTCAGCCTGTCGAAGAAGAACTGTGCAGAATGGAAGTCTGCGATTTATGTCGAGCGCGGCGCACAGGCAACTCGGAAGCTGGTCACCGTCGACATGACGATTGAAATCTCATCGGCTGCTGTGCAGACATTGATCAACTGTTCACCGCCACTCTTGCTTCATCGACGCGTATGCACTTGCAACACTATCTTCCATGGGCATCATGACCGGTTGCGACGCCACAGTCTATCCATACCGTCTCGCGAGCATTTGGTTTCCTTCCTTTGGTTACACTGATGTGACTCAGGTGAAATCGACATCCAATGCTCAGCAATGTGCTCAGTGGATATGGCTCTCGCGCGCACATCTTTTCTTGACGTCTTTTTTGCAACCATATGGCAGATGACGGTCACGATGAATAACCCCTAGCTGCTTTGATTTCTACATCTATCAGTCGGCTTCGCCAGAATTTACGATGTTCATCCGTTGGTTGATATTGTGCGTGCCTTGCAAGCAACTTCCTGAAATAAGATTATTGACCCCACGTCAACGGCGGGTTTGGGTACCGATGATGTCGCTGTCACTAGTAACCGCACGGAGTTCATCGTCAAGGCGATAGTGGTAGCTATGTTCACTTGCGGAGCGCTGAGCTGGGGTTGGATCTGTCAAGATCCCCTAAGTGCTAATACAATACATCCCATCTTGTTATCTTCATGCATTTTCTACAGCTCGGCGATCGCAAACATTAGTGAACCGTCTAGAGTGCGCATGTGCATGTGTAAAGGATATGAAAGTGGAGGGCCGACCGATTGGAAACTGGTGGTAAGATGCAGGCTTTCTTTGTTGATCACTGACGTGACACAACATGCATCTCGCAGACTCCATACTTGCCACACCGACAGATACAGGAGCTTCCTCGCAAGGCCGTCCGTGATAATTGATCATTCCATGCTTACATTCGCTGCCAGACCATACAGTCTTCCTACTGTCGAGGTGCTTTTGAATCTCTGTGTTTTGTCAAACAAGCTCTATATCTCCGTGTAGTACACGGTGTTCATCATCATCTGCCTCGGCACGGGACAGGGGAACGCAGAAGCTCGACAGCGGCATGATCGTGCAAAGCGGGCCTTGCCAAACGCCAACAATGAAGTGACAGAGCTATATGCGGAGCCGTCATCAAATCTAAACAAAGTTTGGGGAATATGGAGGGAAGTTTTCCGACCTGAGCGTTCAGACTTTGGTTTTGTACCGCCATCTTGGTTCATGGACACGTTGTGCCGCTTCTGTCGTCACATCCTCCGAGCCTATATTTTGCTACATCTGTTCAAACCGTCTACTATTGCTCATATGTGTAGTCTGTAACAGATTCTACGCAAGCTTTCAAAATGTACAGAGGCTTTCTACTCACATTTGACCAATTTACGTATGTCACTCAAACCCATGCATTGATGTTTACGGTTACAATTGCAAATTCTATATTTGTGAGTCGCACCAGATTGTCACGGTAATTAATGACATTTCTGTCGCTTGTGGGTCGTCTGGAATCGTAATTACTTAACAATCGCATTCCCCGTCTGTTCTTTGCTCGGTCTGACAGGTGAGCATGAATATCAGCTTCACGAGTACGATGTTATTATCTAATGCTGCATATGGTACAGTCTCTGGTATCGTTGCCATATACATGTTATCGAAGTCCTCTCCGTTCCAGAATATCGTCCAAGAAAGCTTAGGCAACTGGATAACAAGCGATTGTATGCCTACTCTTTGGTGGGTTGACAATCTCTCTGGGCGCCGTGTCTCTTCAATTCATTTCGCCGGATCGCAGGATGAGGTGTATTACGAGTTCGTTTCCTCGATTCTCGGCTTATCCTTAGAGAGGAACTGACTTTTGTACGTGATGTGCAGCTATGATATTGTAGAAGATTCGGCGAACGAACATAGCTCGACGGCACGCCTCGTTAGATCCACTCAAATCGAAATTACTGTGGAAGATGTTCAATGTACAGCAGCAAACACGATTGAAAACGCACCGTTTGACCATATGCCTATAGTAGTCTCAGAATGACCAGGTATCTCGAGTTCCCATCCGAACGTCAACAGTATTTGAGACATCTTCTATTTAGTTTTATATAAGCTCAGAGGTAACCTCGGATTCTCGACGAACGGACACTATGTACATTGCTTGATATCGCATTGACACTATCGATGTCGCAGGGGTGGAATGGCCGAGGACGGCAGACAGTCCGCAAGCAGCGGTAGTACGACAAAAGGGTTCTCGACCCGGGAATATGAGGGATGCTTTACAACTTTTGGGTTCAGCCTCGGATCACGAGATGAACAAAAGGAGAATGATATTTCGAAGCTGTCCGCTCCAAGAACTCCGCCAAGCAGCGTAATGTACGATGCCATTGTGCCACCTGTACGACATGACGCCGGCAGACAGACGGCTTGTTGGAGAAGTACAATGTCAAGTTGAAACTTGATATGCATGGAATAGGTATGTAGGAATGGGTATCACAAAGCACGACGTTGTGTGTATGAACAGGACGTCAGCATGTGTAAGCGCGTTCTCACTACTTTCCGCCCAACGTGCCGCAAACCTGTTGGCGGCGAAGCAACCTAACGTGGAAAAACCTCAGACTTCAGCGAATCTAGGAATATTGAGGACTAGATTAGAAACATTTATACTTTTTATCGTCAAGGGTACGGTGAGCAAACAAGGAACGGAGATATCATGCATTCGTCTATGGTAAGTCAAGGCTACTGGAGGATTTGAACTTGATCGGGCCTCCAGTTCCATCGTCGGTGTGTACTACTCGGGTTACGTTGATGGCAACCCTCCGAGTCATACCGAATGACTCCTGGGCGGCTTCTCGAGAGGCATCCATGTCAACTGGCGATACATGAGCTCTCTGCGCCCATCCCATGCCGACGCGAACGTTGATGAGCATGAACGCTATGCCGGCTACGGCACAGTATGTCTCGCTGCATGTCGACTGTAGATTTGACTGGATACTGTAGGTCACGAAGAATAAGATGGTCCAGGCCCTGTCGGTTCTCGTCAGCACCTTGAAGTACAACTAGTGTACTTAGCTCACGTGTACAGAGCGGCACTTTCGACAAGAATTCCTGTAACGCCCTACGGATGCCAATCTCAGTGAGCGCAAGAAACCTGGGTAAATGAAGGACGTACCATGAGACTGCTTCCACCAAAACGCTTAGCTTCTTTATTGGCGTGCCATATTTTACAGGCAATCATGGCTAGTTAAGACCATACACTGTCAGCAGTGCCTTGCAACCATGCAACCTACTCACCAGTGCTGTACACGTTCGTACTTATTGTCAAAGATCAGACAGAGATTCACCATTGCGCCAAGTCGTGACTCACCATAGCGTGAAAACGCAATTTGCCGTAATCCAATGTCCAGTAGGGGCAAAGAAGATGTCGCCGCCTGCTCTTGATCTCGTCAACTCGTAAATCGAACCGACTGTGCACACTGTATAGACGATATCTTGAATGGAATGTATCCTATGCACGAATTGAAAGATGATCCTACCAGCCAAGCCAACCAAGGTGGATGACGGAAATATTGCGATATACCAATTATATCCCGAAACGATCCACAAGCGATAAATCTGGGAAGGGAAAACGCGCCTGGGTATGTATATTGATCATGCATGCAGGATTATAGAGCGTACGATCATCGCATCACCGATAATGAGGGATATCATGAGCACAGCTGTTTGGGTCACTTCAGACGGCTGCGATGCATCTTTGTAGAACTCGACTGGCTGTGTTCCTTTTTCGTAGTAAAGGAAGGCCTGAAATAATCGGTATACCATGATGATCCAGTGCTGCAAATTATCGTCGTGTCATCAGATAGTCGAGCTTCATGGTGATCCACTTACCGCCGTGTTCGTGATCAGGAGACACACCGCAGCTATGGACATTGGCGTGAGATACACCATGTTGCGTGTCGCCCTGGGATTTGGCGGTAGACTGGAGACCTGCGAGCGACGATACTGAAGAATGTACATAGAAAAGAAGGAGAGTACGAGGAAGATGCCATAAAAGAGACTTTCCATCACCGCAGTCGCGAGGTTCGCAGACAACACAGGTACTCCGGACATGATTCCACAATCCTGCAAGCAGAGTCGACCACGGGCCCCGGTCTGAGTGGCATACTCGCGGCGGGACGTCAACATGAACGTCTATATACGACCTGCGGAGCATCAAGATCGCACGCGAAGCTGCACTTAGCATGGCAACTGCTCTAGAATAGTAGGTTATGAGCAAGCAAGATGGGAGAGCTTCGCATGCACTTCGGCCTGTGCGAGAATATCCATGGGTTGTATGAGGGAAAGGAACCGCGCATCGACATATCCACATATGACACTGACGCTGTTGGTTGATTGCGCAGGCTGCGTCAGCAGATATCTGACATGTTCCTAGCAGAATCGCGCCCCAGGAGTCTGCTGATCAGTTGTGGTCCTTGAGTGTTGCCTGATTGAGCAGAGAATAGAGACGATATCATGTGGTCCGGACGGAAAGCTCTCTGACGCCACAGCTTCTCATTCCCTCGTCGCTGAGCCGACTATCTCATGCTCGAGGGAAGCCTGGCGAGAAGCCTACCCTCGCGGAAGCGAACATTGGCAGCCATGTGATCATCAACTTCGCGCAATTCTCAGCCCTTGAAATTGCAGCACCTTATGAATTGCAACCGCGCCAAGGACGACCCAAGCTTGTCCCACTGGACGTATAATCAGCCAAAATCGTTATTGAGGTCTTCCTCCCCACTATTCAACGGCATATAAGCTCCAATGGATACCAGAAGATGATAAAAGTACGAGCCAGAATTCTTCATCCGACGCTGTCCTCACTAGCACCAGCCATCGTGGAGAGTGCTCAGATAAAGATACAACTATAATTCAATAACCAAAGTGACGAGAACAGATTGAAGCACCCCTGCAATATCAATCCCACCCGAAAGAGTCCAAGACCAGTTCGACAAAGCAATCTTTGTCAGATCTGGAGCAAAATTCAATGCATAGGAGATGAACGACAATAAGCTTTCTCCAAAAGACTCCGTTACGACATTCCCAAGGACCAGGCAGCGAGGAAACGTCAGCGACGCGAATATCGACTAAGCAAATTGTTGCGGTCATATCATAAGCGCGGCGAAACACCTTCCGATAGTGTAACTGGCGGCAATAATAGATGAGATCCACGAAGACGCAAGAAGTGCCATCGGCCCCCGCGAAGGAGACCGCTGAACAATGGGCTGTTCGATAGGCGATCAAGCTTCGATCGCCGGCCATGGGAGCAGAGTATCGATTGAACATTTTCTGCTTGGATCTGGTTTCTATGATGCCGTAAATTGAGCCACGACCATGACGTAGCAGGAACTTGCTGAAGGCGGCCTTTTTTCCGTCGACACGGTCACAAGCAAGCTTCGGTGGACGGACGAAAAAGCCCATGGCAACGTCAGACAGCGCATGACGCACGCGCGCAAATGTCCCCACAGATATTGCACAGCTATTTGAACTGGTCGAATAAAGGCGTGAGCTGTGATATTAGTTGCAAATTGACCATAGCAAATACGCCTCGATGGGGAACAAAGACTGAGTCTGCAGCATGCTTGTCTTATCAACAACGCAGGCAAACGCACCTCGCACGACTCGCTAAGTTGCCACCTCGAACACCTCTGGTAGCGTTGGTGGTGCCCACATCTTGCATTCAAAAAAGCCAAGGCAAGACACCGTTATTTAGCAAGGTCTTGAAACGAGAGTACTAAGCTTGGGGCCACCGGGAACTACCGGGAAGCAGTGATTGGACAAGGAACATCCAGCGCTAATCGTGTTTTCCTTTCAGCTTCGTTGGACTTTCCACGACGGCGTACATGTTAATGTTCGCACCCACCGCAGAGGTAAGTCTGGGTGCAGCAGTTAAAAATGAATTACGTATAGAATCTCTTTGCTTGTACTGAAATTCTGAGAGAGGGAACTGTGCGCACTGGAGCAGAGACATTCGCAAGCGTGATTGTGCTAACAGCAATGATAGCACGATCTTGACTTGTAGATGCGATCCATTCAAAGCTGGTATCAACTTTCATGCATGCACTGAATCCTGATGAAGGAGACGTGGAAATGTACACAAGACTTGTATTGGATTACTTGATTCGTCAGGTACGTGCCTATTTGCTCTGGTATGTGAGCACAGATCCCCGAGACACCCGCTTACTTCTCTCGCCGACAGAGCCATTCGTCCTTCAGTCATGGCCCTACACCCCTCTCGTGTTGTCGCACCTATTCCCCTTTACCTCCAACAGGACGGCGATCATCGTGAAGCTACCATTCGCGATCTATGTACAATCATTGCTGCCAACGATCGCCCTTGAGTTGCAACCTGCATTTCCCTTTGTTATATGGCGCCTGCGAGCTTCACCTCATCCCTCCACGCAATAACAGCGGCAGCATCGCTGTAATTGCGTGGAGAATTGTGAAACGATTGTTCTCGCATTACAGCCATTGCTGCCGCCTCGTCATTATCCCCGGAAGGCGCTCGATCGAGGACAGCAGGAGGGCCCGAGACGGGCGCAGGGATGCCATAACGCCGCAATATAGCGAAGGGCAACTGGCTGATCATCGCGCCGAACTGCTCGTCCGTCAGAGGCGCCTGGCGCCTCAGAGGAGGCGCGCGAGGTCTGTTGCTGACAATCTCCCGTGCCGGATCGCCATGTCGCTGGTCTTCCAGTGCACCTTCGTCGTGATACCATCGTATGTGCACGCCCATGCGGTTTGGTGTGGGCGCGAGAGTCATGCGGCGAAGTTCCTCGTTTGAATATAGGCCGCAGACCATGGAGAGCTGCCGACGCCGATTCTGGTCATACGCCGCGTTCTATGAAAATAGACGTCAGAACGCGTCGTGAGGCGATGAGAAGACAGGAAGTCACCTTATGATACCCTGAGTGGGCCATGTTGTTTTGATGGGATGCGAGGGCACGATTATCCATGCAAGCTCACGAGGTATTGCTCGCATGTAGAACAAGGGCACTCTTATTCAATGGTCATACTCTGACGACGCCACATGGCCACTGGATAACAGAACATATGCGAGAATGCTGATGCTCCAATCCTCACGTTCGGTGGGCCACGTTCGTTCCTTTACATAAGGCCGCAGAAGAACGGGTGCCATTATGTGCTGTCTGTGATCTTCTTGGCGGGCCGCTAGGCATATTCACATATCAGTGACTGGATGGTAACAGGTTAGTATGGGCATCATGGCTGCAGATTCAGTTAATGTGATAAACTCTCCTCCAAGAATAAAAGCGAATAGGACTGTTCTTCTTCTAACACACATCAACATCTTGTTTCTGAACTCAGGCTTTCATTATTTCCCGACGAATGTGCATGGGTTTACGTCGGACGAGTGAATGGCACTTAGACACGTGTGCCATCCCGTCACGAACACGTGCCGATGCACCGTCGCGTCGCGTTAACTCACGTGATCGTATTTCGCGTTGATTGCTGTCACCGCGTGCATGCCACCCCGCTCGCGCGTGTAACGCACATTCTCAACTCCTTTACTTGGCCTATCCACCTCAGGAAAGTTCTTCCAGTTTTCGTTTACACGCGCGACCTTCCGGCTTTCATCTCGCTCATCGTCGTGTCTCGTCTACACTGGGCCAGCATGGAGTCAATATCGAGCAGGAAAGATCTCGAGCAACAGCAACAGGCTGAGATTCACAAACAGATTGCGATTTTGCAAGCACAGCTCACCAAATCTTCCACATCATATCCTACACGCACCCCGCCAGAGCGGAAAGAAAGACCGGAGTCTGACGTGCTAGTTCCTGCATCGCCATCTCCAAGTAAGCTCGCGCGTGCGAAATCGCTGAGCTCCAGCTGACTTAGAGGTTAGAGAGGAAGAAGTCGAGCCATCGTACAAGCTACGGTGAACGAGGCAGCATGTCTGTGCGCTCTATGAGTCAACAGTCGCGCTCATCTCAGACACTCTCCTCCTCTCAATCATCCGTCGCTCGTAACGCAACGGCTCCGGCTCAGAAGCAGGTCCCATCTACTGTGCTACAGAAGCTAGCCAAAGCACACTCCAGAAAGGACACGCAGCTCACTCCAGCTGCCATCACTCGTTCCACCGCGTTCACAGAGAAGCCAGCTCCTCAGGACGACACCGTACCTCAATCGAATGCACAACAACGCGATGACAGACTCGCACTCGTGGAGAAGCTAATTCCAGGGCCAGTGGAACACAAGCCGCCATTTGACGACCCGAAGTTTGAGAAGCTGGAGCCGTGTTCGGGAATCCGTCTCTCGTGAGTCCATCACGTGGCCTATCCCAGCTCTATCCACCTGACACACGCACAGCTCACGCTCCATATCCCACGAAGACTTTCAGGACTACCTGCGCGGGCGGTACTACCTCTCGCCCTCGAAGCTCTACTCGGTCGTCCGGCTGCTCCCAGACAAGCAGGGCTACGACGTGCCCGTATGCGGGGACTGGCTGACGATCGCCGTAGTCGCAGAGCGGGGCCAGATCAAGCACACACAGGCACCCGTTGGCATTGGGCGCGAGGACAAGCTCGAAGATGAGGAGGCACAGGACAGCGTCGACAACTTGCTGCTGAACACCGACCGCACAAAACAACCCAGGGCCGGCAAGAGCAAACAGGAGCCGCCGAGAGCGAGCGGGAAGAAGTACGTGAACCTGAAGCTGGTCGACTTTGGTTGCCGCGAGAGCGCATCGTCCGAATCCGCATCCAAGGCCATCCGCGGGGACGCGATGCTGTCCCTGCTGCTGTTCGAGTCGGATAGCTACGATGTCATCACGATGAAGGATGGAAGAAAGGAGAAGGTGTACAAGGGAGGGAGCAAAGGCGCGTTCGAGAAGATGTCGACGCTCAGAGAGGGCGCGGTTGTCGCTTTGCTGAACCCGAGGATACTGAAGCCATTCCAGGTGCGTACGATCTAATTCTCTACTACCTTCGCGCTCATAGCGGAACCCTTTCTCTGCAGCGCTCATCAGACGCACCGCATCCTACAGATAATATCCTCGCGCTCACTCCAGAGTCGATCTTCTCGGTCGCTGTCATCGGCTACTCTCAGGACCTGGGCATGTGCACCGCGATCAAGCGCGACGGCAAGCCCTGCGGGAGCTGGTGCGACAGGCGGATAGCGGACATCTGCGAGTATCACATCCAGCATGCCGTCGAAAGGAAACGGGCAGCCAGGCCGGAATTCTCGAACGGGTATGCGACACGTTCGCTCATGTACTTACGCCCAGCACTCATCAATTTCGTTTCTGACACAGCACCTCAGGGATGTCCACGGGTGCGAAACGTAGCAAACCCGCGTACGACCCCGCGCGACAGTGGGGCCTTAAGCCGCCAGACAACGATGGCGCGACCTACGTGGTCTCGGGCCACATCGTCTCCGGTGCGAACGATGCAAAGTCGCTGTTCATATCCGAGTCGCTGGGGCGCGACGCGCAGGCAAAGGCATCTCGGAGGGGATCAGCCAAGGCTGCGGATGAGGCACTCCAGAAGCTGTTGAAGCGGGACAGGGAGGGCACGAAGGCTCTTGTCACCGCGCGCGAGTTCGGGAAGCGCGCGTCGAAGGAGGAGAAGGGCAAGGCTGTGCCGGGAAAAAGGAAGCGGGAAATCGATGAGAATGAGAGTGGGACCACAGGAATGGATGGCGAACGGGGCAGCGCCGACGAGGAGGAGCCACGGAAGAAGAGAAAGACTGCGTATTCGGCGCAGATGATAAAGCGGCTTGGGTTCGATCCGACTGCGAAAGATGGACGGAGAGCGGCAGACGACGAGGTTCAAAGCAAGGTGTGTACAGTTGTAAAGCTCATCTGATCCGATGCTAAAATCCGGGCAGCTGGCGGTGCTGGCAGCGTTGCAGACATCCAGGCGGCAGATCCATCTTGGACCTCACCCGGGGAAGAAGAACAGCTGCGTCCAGCGTCCCGCCTCCTCAGTTCACAAGTCCGAGCCAAAAGTACAGGAGCGGAAGGTGCTCGGCAAGGTACTGGACTCGTCTCCTGCATTTGTAGATTTGGATAGTAGTGATGCGGAACTCTGATCGGTTGGATTGGGCTGCTTGATCTGCATGTAACGTCTGGATTTGCGCAATCTGTTCACGAACTTCCGCAGCATACTCGCATTGACAGTGTTTATTTACATCCCTTGCATCGTGAATGTATCCATAGCTTGGAAACGTTACGCTTGTATAATGCTGAACATGGCATCCTGCGATTGTAAAGTCTTGGAGTGCAAATCAAACTGTTGGCCGATAAGTCAACAAAACGTGGTTTTTACAAGAACAAGGCGCCATGGTAATCAATTCTCTTCTTTCTATGAGAATGTAATAGTGCATGGCCTGGGAATAGCATGGTATCAAACCATCTCGGCCAGCTGCAGCTTCTGTAGCATCGCATCGTCGTGTTCCTTCCGCATCACCTCACCCGGACCGACACCAGTCACCCATCCGGCACTGCTGTTGAGGTCGATGGGATAGTTTGCTTTGCCATCAATTCCGCACCAGTCAAAGTCGATGAGCATCACATGTTCTTTCTTGAGTATAATATTTGGCGTTCGAAGGTCCCCAAAGACCAGCTCCTTAGTGTGCAAGCGCTCAAGCGCCTTCTTGAGCTGATCAAAGTGACCTTCCGTGAGCGTCCTACCAAATGCCGATTCTCCATCCACATAGTCCATCACAACCATCCGTCGTCCGCCGAACGTGCGTTGACTGACGTGGTACAGAGCCGGAGCGAAGCTTTCACCTTCGATCTCTTCAGAGAGGAACCTGTGCGCCGCTTCGTTGTACTGTGTCGTGAACTTGACAACTCGTAAAACACCCCCTTCGTTCACTTTGAAGACTTGTGCGTCATTGCCGCCGAGCTGTTCTACATACGAAAAGGTGTTCCCGTCATAGCTGGAGATGTATGGGAAGCCGTGCATCCCTTCTGCAGCCGGAATGGCCTTGAGCAACGTCGACGTGTAGTATGTCCGAAACGAGCACGTGGCAGCATTCAAAGAATGGACCATTCGTTCGAGCCGGGACTGATCGTCGAACAGACACTCCGGCGCCGTCCACTCATAACCTGTGAGCGGTTGGACGATGGGTGCTCGTGTATAGACAGCCCCTGCCACGCATAGCCAAGGACCGGCGATTGCGAGGATGATGCAGGGGCAGTAGCTTTTCCGGCGAAGGGGCAGATCTGCCAGGAGTGATGTCAGCTGTGGCAAGAATCAATCACAAATACATACACTTATCATCGTCAGAAGAGTATCTTTGGTAGGCAAGGCACGCCTGCGTGTAAGGGTCTACAATGCCGGTCCCGATCTCGTTCTTTACTTCGCAAATGAGAATCTTCGCGGACCACTCATTTGTGGCAGCAAGGAGGACCCGGTCGCTCGCGAACCCTTCGCCAACGACTTTCTCTAATGGTCCTCCGACGAGCTTGCCCAAGGTATGCTGGATGCCCTTCATCCGGTCTTCCTTTGTTTGATATACGCTGGCACTGGCGGTAATGAACTCTCGTACGAGTCGCCTGACGTCCAGGGATATTTCACCATCGCCTTTCAGCTTCTCCTTGAACTCGTCAAAGACTGGATGGTAAAGGCCGATCGGAGGCCCGACGCGTTGAGCAGGGCGCCCGTTAAGAACCCATCCGGGTCCCTTCTGAATGTGTTCGAACTGCCTAAGGGAAGCAGCTTGGGACGGCGTAGGGGCTTTTTTTGCCGCTTCGACATTCTTATCCTGCTCTAAAGGCCAATATAGCGCAGAGCAGCAAAGCCTGGCGAAGCTCGACGCACCTTCCTCGTACGTCTTCGTGCGCTTTGAGGGAGTCATGATTTCATCATGCTTCTTCCGCTTCCAAGCTTGAGCAACAGTTGGGACAGCTACTAGGCACTCTCGTGATGCTAATGTCCCAACAGCATTTGAGTGACAACTTACTGGGTTCTGTTGCAGCGTGTTCCTACGGTTAGAATGTCCGCTTTGTCGGAGAAGGCGGAAACGCACCAGGCATCTGCACGAGCAGTGTCTCTTCTTTTGAAAGCTTTAGATCTGCTATCGTCTCGCTCACACGAAGTACTTCGAGTTTCTGGTTGGAGAAGGCCTCGCTGACTTGATCCTTCAACGTTTTGGGGTCTTCATCATCAAAAATAATGGTCGAGTCCATGCATCTCCATACAATGAGTCTGGCAGAGTCAACACCAGCAGTGTCGACTGATCTCTTTTCCTTGACCTTAGCCCTCAAGTCATTGACATCGGCATCAGAAGATATCTTGACTGTGAAGAGTGTTCCGATGGGCTCCTTCTTGTGATCGATGAGGAGGCACCAGATGTCCATTAATGTGGCCATGGTGGAAGTGTAGTGCGGTGCGAAGGCACGAAGCGAACACGGAGCGCATCCTCAAACATCGTGACAAAGCCTGTCACCTCACCAGAGACATTTTTCCACGATTAGAGAACATCATGCAGCAGCGCCGGTTCCAAGGACCAGTTAACGGGTACGTTAATAAACTACACCGTGATTCCTGGAAACGCTCATCGATCTCTTGTTTATATATGCAGTGAAAACCCCGTATGCGCACGCCAAACATGAAGGACACAAGTACAGACTGAATAATGACATTTTATGACCTCTGGGCGTAAGAATGGCACGCGAGCAGACATGAAACACCATGGTCACAATATCTCTACCTCGTCATCGTCCAACTTCTCGTTGGCACTATCCATAATAATCAGTCCGTCCTCTTCCAGTCTCCGCCGCTTGCTCGGGGTGAACGGGACCGCAACGAAGCCGTTTGTTCTCGGCCGCTTGGGGGTCGACTCCCTGTCCATTCTCGCCCGCTTCGGCGATTCGACCTCGACAACGTCATCATCCGGAGCCGACCGTTTGAGCGCTGTCCGGGGTGGCGTGGAGGAAGCAGGCGGCGGCTTCGCTTTTTTGGGTGGTTGTGGTAGCGGAGAAGGCAAGATCAGAGCAGGACCATCTGCTGGGTGATCGGGTCTGTGCAGGCGCAAATGTCAAGATGAGTGCAATTGCGCAAAAGGTAGCTGCCGCCACTTACGGTAGGATGTCAATCGCCACTTGGATGGTCGCCAGCTCTCCTTCGTCATCCACGATTGACAAGAACTTCCCTCTCGTCACATTCAAACTCTTCAATGTTCTCTCAAAGTTGTCCTCCCAATCCGGATCGCTCAGCATCCGCTTATCCTCAAACACACTCACGTCTCGCTTCTCTGCCACACCATCCACACCCTCGCCGATGCCCAATATTCCCTCGACAACCTCGCCAAGCGTCGCACGCGCGGGATCGCACAGCACCTCCGTGTACGTGTCCCGGCACACGCCGCAGTACGGGTTCGGCGGGCACATATTAATGGTACTGAGAGGCATGCTGGGCTTGAATTGCACGTGCACGTTGCGCAGGGAGTTGTACGCTTTACGCAGGAGGTGCAGCGCTTGCAGCACAATGAGACCGGCGATGATGGCATTGGTTGTGGCAATGGCGGGGATGATGTTCCCAGCCATCTCTGGTATACGGATATCCTCATAAACGCATGACGATGGGACCTTTGAAGCAATCACGCACCTTTCACCTCCCATCTGCTCTTTCCAGGAATTCCGTACGCTATTGAGCGGAGGTTAGAAGCTGCAGTGACAAAGTCCAGTGTGTCATCGTCGTCCTTGTCAAACGAGATTGTCTCTTCTTCTGCCTGTAGGCGGGCTGATAACCTCTCCGTACTAGTAATCAAGAATGATGAATGCTCAAGCTGCATAACTACGACCTCATCAGTGTGCCCACCTCGAGATGAATAACTCCAGATTATCCTGCAATGATAGCGCCCGTTGGTCCTTCAAGCCCGCGGAACTGGTACTCGCTGCACTAGATGAATCGCCATTCAGCAGCTTCTCTGTGCTGGCACTCCCGTTGCCGTTCTGCGCGTCACCGTTTTGTCTCCGGCGGGTGCCGTTCTCTACGGGGACCTTCTGCTGCAGCACGAATGATCCATCCCGGATACTGTCGAAGTCCAAAGGAGTTGGAGGTGCGCGCGAGCGCCACATATCTGTCATGGAGAGAAGGTTGAGAATGTCGGAATGAAAGACCTACGGGAGGCCATCGGCATCAGGAATAGCATTAATACGGAACGCCGATGCGGAAGGATGAACGGACTCACCTTCTGGAAGACTAATTTCGCCGCACTGGAGCTCTCTTCGTCTTTAGATGGGCGGTGCACAGCATCGCGCACAATCTTAAATGCAAGCGCTTCCTTCCTAAGTGCCGCAATTTCTTGAGCTATCGTCGGGTGCTAGAAAATGAGCATGCTACAGAAACACTTAGCATAGTCTGCGCTTCTCACCATTCTCGCCCTGCCTTTCGGCTTCATCAAGCTCGTCGCCTGCGTCTTCATCTTCTCCGATGAGTTGACTGTATTAGTTGAGCGTAGTTAACGGGTCAAGTCATCAGCGGATGATTAATCGTGGTGAATCTCACGGTAGCAGGTAACTTTTCGCCCAAACGATGCAGTGAATGGGCTGTGATGGGGTGGAACGGATTGTGCATACAGGGAATGTCTTCGGAGTAGGCTTGGGCACGCAGTCAAAGCATTCTGATCGGTCCTGTGAACGCCGATGCAACCAGTTGCGGCGACATACGTCGAGCATAAATAAGAGGCACGGCACCTGCCTTCAGTATAGGCTGGACCTGGCCCAGATAGCCGGCAGTACCAGACTCCACTAGCGGTACGTTCGCAGCCATGCACATTTTATTGACGTGCCGCCGCGCGTCGAGATTGTCTAGCGCGTTGAGGACGATATTGAAACCCCTGAACCATGCAACGTCGAACTGCGGCTCCTTGATATTGGCATGTATGGGTGTGATGTGTACGTTCGGATTAAATGAGGCAGCCGTACGTGCTGCAACCTATATGAAGCCGCAATGTGTTCATTCTCCGCATGGGCTCTAAACGCAAGACTGACCATAGCTTTGCTATGCTTCACATCCTTCTTTCTGAAAAGGAACTGTCGGTTCAGGTTGGACAGGTCGATAGTGTCCAGATCAAGCAGAGTGATATCCCCGAAGCCCGTGAGGACAATGTTCTTCACTAAGTATCGGTCCATTTTATCCATAGCGCCAGAGAAGTTAGACGCCACGCGGTGTATTGGCAACAGAAAGGTGTAACAAAGAAATGGGTTCAAATGGACATCAGCTAATGTATGCATTTATCGCATAAAATTCTGATACGCACACAATTCACAGCCAATCCCACCCGCACCGACCAGGAGCACTCTCGTTTTGGACAGGCGGTCGTACATCTCAGGACCCAGGATCGCTCTGGCGTGAGCTCCTCGCCTGTCCTGCTCGTCGCTCATCTTCAATATCGCGCAAGGTGTTCAAAGACGCCTAGAGAGCGGCGACGTGGGCGTACTGGGAAGAGTCGAAGGGTCGAAGACAGGTACTCAGACGCGACGTGACACGATCAAGCGCGCTTGTCACGAGTCAGACGGGGAGTGTAACGGTGTCACGTCTCTGACATTTAATCCGAGTTTGCTCAGAGTGCAGCGACGCCGTATTTCCTGTCTATTCCTTTGAATAAATACGCTTCGGAAATTTCTAGTCTTTTGGCAAACTGAGCGCAAATTGAGCGTATGTAGAAGGACGAAGTCAAGGTCCTTAATAGTTGCATCAGTACAGCCACACTCGCGTGCAGAATCGCCATCAAATCTGATGGCGCTCTAATCCGTGAATGCGACGGTGCTCAAATGTTTCTTTCGAGCCACCATCCTCCTCGTCCAGCTGGTCTTGTACGACTCGCCACGCCTCCTGCTAGCCAGGACCAAGTCTCCTCGAATCATACCAATCGCTGGTCGATTGGGTACACACGCCAGGAATCATTCAAGTTCTCTTTCATCTCCTGCACGTGTCTTTTTCTTGCAACGTCATGCTCTCGCCCTTCCAGATTCCCCTCAAAGCCGCTAGAAAATGGTGGCGTGTGCGAGATGGCAGAGCCCGTCTGACGGTCCAACCCAACCCATCATGCAGCCCGCAGACGTTTCCTGTTTCTCCGGAGTCTCTTTCTGACATCTCGCCAATCTCTCAAGCAGGAATTCAGTGCCAGGACCGTGTTGCCGAGGTGGCAATGACGATATCTGATCACTTTGCATCTTCAAGCAACTCAGGCCGTCCTATTCCCATTGATGCTCCCCTCATGCTTGGACGGCTAAGCCCGACGGATGTCGTGAATCTGCAATCATGGCTGCAGGCGCGATTTGATTGGAATGACGATAGAAGGTTGTTGTTTGATGAGGAGATATCCGCGGAGAGAATCGCGAGCGACATTGTTAAAGGTGGCGAAGGAGACCCGGGAGGGATCTTTAACGATCCCACTGCGTGGTTAGCAGGTCCTGCATCGAATGGTCCGACCTTGGCCGAGACTGCGAGCGCAGAGTTAGAACAGCTTGTGGCAGAATCATCACAAATCAAGCCGAGTATCGCAATGCATGACGAAATGGATTCCTCCATTATCGCAGCACGACACACACCACCTCCCGCATGCGATGCTCACGAGGCTGTGCCAGACATAGGCATGGCGACGTACGAATCTTGGACAGGCAAGCGCTTCAGCAAGCGGCGGTACGTGACTACTTTTTGCTTCTAACATCCCAACTCATCGTTTCCTTTGGGAGCAGACTTATGTACAGTCTCCTCGCACTGGGACATCTTGGTTCACAGTCCTCACCCTCCTCACTGCTCCCTCCCATGCCGGAAGTCGAGACAGCTGTATCGCCACGCGCCCCTTCCTTCGTGCACACGCCTATATTTTCCCCGTGGCTGGAAACAGTGCGCTTTCCTGCGCTTGAGCCTATTCAGTCGCCTTGGGTGCCGAACCATTCTAGCCATAGCCACGATTCGTACGGATCGGCGATGTTTCCGCAGTCGCCACGTGAGGATCAGTGCTGTTCAACACCGCCTCCCGGGGAATGATTTCGCCCATTACGTGTTGCCATGAATAATGAAGCCTCCGGAGACGGACTCGACGTCCCCTAGCGACGAATTTCTAGCATTGTGTTTATGATGCATGATCTCGCTGATGATTTAGGATAACGTGGCTTGCTGAACGAGTGGTTATGGTACGATTCATGACTTACGGCTTCGTGTGATGTACGGAGACTGCTCAATATAGCTGGCGGGGTGGTGGTTCCAAACATTGGCATGACGATCGATGTAGTCCAAGATTTCTGCTCGTTTGAAGAGCAGAATTCGGCCGGAGTCAATTCTAACTGCCGAAATTACTTTCTAGCAGATCGCCCGTAAAATTCTTTAGAACCTCAATTGCCTCCATAACGATCGTACCGCGACTTTTACTGGTACGTCCATAGGCTTCTTTAAATTAGACTCTTTTTCTAATACTGAATCTTCTGAAAGAAGATCCAGTCCACCAGATGCCTGTCATCAACGCGTCAACCTAAATAGCGCCATCTATGACCGATAGGACTCTTCATCGCTTGGCGTTTGTGTAAGGATTATCATTTCTCATTGATGGCATGCACTCAACAACACTGAATCATGCTCATGATGCAAGTTTCATTCCTCCTGGTATATACGAAGATGTTTCACAGACATCGAATACAGGTATGGTATAGCCTGGGTGGATCATCCGTACGCACACCATCCAACACGTTTCATATAGGGAGGCTGACCGACTTCACAGGAACTTCCGCGCAGCATTCTGCAGCACGGATCCAGCCTCGTCTGCTTGAGTAGAGCTCTGCGCGATATTGTCAGCCAAACCAGACTGCACATACGAAGAAAGGATCACTCAAGCCACTCACAAGGTTATACCCGGCCTTTGACGCGACGCTTTCGATGCCCCGTTCGATGAAGCTATTCCCCCCTCCGCTCGAGCTGTTGTTCGACGAGCCGGAGCCGGGAAGGCCGCCGCCAGAGCTCGAATTGGAGTTACCGCCGCCATAGCTGCTGTCGTTTCCTCCGCCGTTTCCTCCACCGTTTCCTCCACCGTATCCGCCGCCGGTTCCTCCACCGTTTCCTCCACCATATCCGCCGCCGTTTCCGCCGCCGTTTCCTCCTCCGTATCCGCCGTCATTTGCGCCACCGAAACTATCATTCCCACCTCCCACGCCGCTGCCGCCACTACCGTAGTTGCCACCACGTCCCCCGCCCTCTCTACCGCCAGCGTAGCTGCTGTCACCGCTGCCGCCCGTACCGCTGCCACCATAGTTGCTGTCATTGCCGCCACCCACGTTTCCGCCGTAGTTGCTATCATTTCCTCCACCCCTGCTACTGCCATAGCTGTCATCGTTCCCTCCGCCTATACCACCGCCGCCGTAGCCGCTGTCGTTCCCTCCTCCCCTGCCACCACCGTAGTTGCCATCGTTCCCTCCGCCGATACCACCACCGCCGTAGCCGCTGTCGTTGCCCACGCCGCCACCCGTTCCTCTTCCGCCGTAGTTGTTGTCATTGCCCGTGTTTCCACCCACACCCGAGCCACCGTAGTTGCTGTCGTTGCCACCGCCAAAGCCGTCCATTGCAATCAGTTGCTGCGGTTAAGAAACTTCGTACGGAGTGTGCGAGTGATGTTAACCGAGGGAGACTTGACTAGGATTTGTATGAATGAGCGTGGAGTTGAGAGGCGGATTTTATACCCGGGTACCTAGAGGGACCGGGAGCATACGGCGAAAGGTGGCTGTAACATTTGACAGGTGAACGCTAAATGACGCTTCCATAAGGCACGCACGGACGTCGACGAGGGACCGACACCGTGTCATTGAATCAGATACCGGATATCCTCCACAGCCGGGCCTGGATGGCGCATCATGGGTCTGACTTCGCCGAAGCATCGTGTTATTTGAATCTCCGAGCTCCACGACTTTATCACTCGTCCGTCGCAATGCGGCCATCGCAGTTCCTTCAACTTTCTTGATCTTAAACTCTACGTGGGGATCAGTCATCTGCACTTCCTAAATGTGCGCAGTAGTACAAAGCATACGTGCACAAGTCAGGAGACCCACAACGCCGGACACGGAGAGATGCTGTCCCTGACCGTGCATTCTTTTGGGCTGTGGTAAACCTGGATTGGAACAAAGGAAACTCCGCCACGGCTGACTCAATGCTCTGCGAGATTGCAATGTCAGTGAGAGCGTTTTTGACACCGCGATCACCTGAGAACCCAGACGGAGATGCAAAATACCGGAGAGAAGTGTAGACGACGCTCACAAGTTCCTGGCTTAGTACGAATTCAATTTCCATCCCATGAGTTCTAGAACTGGGAAACGCGATTCCACGAGGTGTTCGACACGACACCACTGCTCGGAATCGTATCGGCAAACTCCACAGCTCACCGACTCCGAATATTGCGCATGTTCGTCCGGACGACTGAGGAACCGGTGACGACATGGATTCGGTGCACAGCATCGTCATCGCTTCATGGGAGTAAGAATTGGGTCTCCGACTATTCATATTGCTGATCTACATACGCCGGCCAAGCACGATGATTGTAGCCGACGATCAGCTTATCGACAATTGGTCATTGCTGTGTGATTCATACGATGGTGGGTAACACTCTGTCAACGCATGCATTTCGACATGATTAGTCTTTTCCTTCAAGACAAAGAACGGAAGATAGAAGCCAACTGTATCATGGTACGGGCGTCAATAAAGTCGGTACGGCATTATAGTTGCACCGAAGCCTATTCTTTCCAACTTAATGCCCACCAAACCTCTACGACCGAAACGCTTTCTGCTACGTCATTGACTTAGCAGGTTGAACAGCTCTGCAAGCATTTCAAGAGTCGCCGCTCGACGGAAGTCGCGAAGCCGATGGCACAGGAGAAGCCACACTTCCCAGAAAGCTATCTTCGGCTCAACACCACCACCCAATCCTAGCGTATGCCTACGTCTTATATTGTGCTGCACATACTTATCTCCGGCCATGCTTCGGTCGGCCGTGACCGACTGTCGTCAATATCTGTGCGTGTTCAGGGAGCTGCTCGAGCCCCACAATCACTGTGGAGTGATCAAGGTACTCGTAGCCTCAGTTATCAGTTATCACGATTCCGGCCAGTGTCTAATTAGACTCTATAGACTGGAACCAGACGACGGAGGGGCAGGTACTGGACGGCACGTGCGACCTAGTAATCATCGAGTATGGTGCTTTTGAAAATGTAACAAGAGCGTGCTGTATGGCGTTTTGCTAAGAAGTGGCACCTACTATATATGCCGCGATGCATTGTTTCAGGCATCAAACTTGTGTGACGTCCGTCTGTTTTATTTGCATGCACTGAAATATGCAATCAATCCAGCATTTTCTACGCGCTCGTCCGCCCGTATCCCCACCCGTACTATTCGGTTGCGGGATGGATGTGCGCAATGTCACACGTGCTCTTATCGACGCACTCACTTTGGTACGCGGCGACCATTCGGCGACTGCGCAAATGAACAACAATCCCGAACCCAAACCACCATTGCGGAAAAAAGCAGGCGGAGATGTATGTTCACGATGGCTGGATTGGTTCAACTGGGCTGATGCCGTCAGGCTCATCTCTGACGAGCGCTCTCATCTGCATGATTGCCTCTCAAGTGCTGCTCGGACAATTGTCGATCGGGGTCGTTCAGCGGAGATATTTCGGGGACGAGTGTGTGCGGTGGTGTCATGGCAGACGAATGTGCTTGATGCGGTGGATAGTCTGCTTCTTTTCACAGAGCGTGAGTGAGAGGAAGATGGGAGAGTGTTTCTTTACTAAGTCATTTTGAGAGGTTTAAGCGGCTGCGGCTTTGATGGAGCAGCAGCGGCGCTCTTCATCCGATGCAGTCGAACAAAAAGCAGGGCGAGTGCTTGGCCCAGCCACTGTAACGGCTTTGCCGTACAGCAGAGACAACTACCGACCGAGGTTATGTATTTCACGTAAAACGCTTTGACCATCTTTGAAGTAGCAATCGCTTATTATGTTCGAAAGATAGGTGGACGTTGCTGATTCCTCCCAACCCATGCAATCCTATTTCCTGGATCTGTCTGGCGGTATGCATGATACGTCTCTCATCGCCTGTATTCACTTCAATTGAGACCTGATTCAAAGCCATAGCGGCCGGATTTGGCTGTGATATATACCCACGCGCAAAGCGAGTCGACTCATCACAGCGCTGGGATCACAGTACTGGGTCAATGGTTCCAGGTGTTCAACCCAATATCCTCAACTTTGATCGCCGCTCTTTTCTCCCGGTGAGGATCAGCCACACGGTATCCGATCATCGTGGTCCTGACATGTCAGTCTGTCGCTTTTATACAGACACAAAAACGTGGTCTCACTAGGTCGATGTGCCAGAATGCCGTATAGAGGTGGGGAGTAACTTCAGAGACGAAACTCATCTCAATTGCATACGAAGGTTACAGGTGGAAATTGTAAACGGTTAAGACGCAATATGGTACACTGTGACACGCTCATCATTAGAATGCAGACCGATAACGATGACAACAGTTGAATGCGATAGGTCCTCTTCAAGTACGCCTAACTGGCTTGACGAGCATCGGCAGCTGACTGCCCTTTTCTTTCTCACTAAGGACGATCGGGCGCTGCACCGCAGCAGCCTGCCTACCGATCTCCTCAAGCGGCACGGCCAGCTCGAACTCGAACGCACGGACGAGCGTGAACACCAGAGCTTTCATTCTGCCAAAGTGGTTGAGCAGTAACAATACTGATTGAAACGAGTTGGCTTACTCGACGAGAGTAAACCGGTAGCCTATGCACGACCGAGGACCGCCGAGGAACGTCATGAGATTTCCCCAAACGCCGGGGATGCTGTTCGTTGCTTCTGGGATAGCGTCCCAACGTTCTGGTCTGATAAGATGCGCGTGAGTGCAGGCTTGCGCTGAGGAAATAATATCGACGAACTTGAACTCGAAAGCATCATCGCCCCAAAGTTCCTTCGATCTGTTTAAAGCAAGTATCGGAATGTCGACATTGGTTCCTTTGTCAATCCTATCACAATCGACCCGTCAATGTCCTGAGCACCGCTATCGAGAACAGAGATGCGCTCGTACTTGATACTATCGTGCACGTGCCCGTGCACGTCCGTGAATGGGGCATTCAGCGGGATAACGTCGTCCTTCACGGCAACTCTGCCAGACATCGGTACAGGCGCATGCACGCGTAAGGTCTCGCGAACGACGGCGTCTAGGTACTGGAGCGCCAGCAGCTCGTCCATTGTCGGACTGTCGGTGGAAACCTCCAGGAGCTCTTCGCGTAGCTTTCGCTGCACCTCGGGGGCTTGGCTGAGTGCGTAGAGGCACCAGGCGGTTGCGTTGCTAGTTGTCTCGTGTCCCGCCGTGAGGAATCTGCAGATGCAATGAGGTTATTGTACAGTTTCACATAGTGGAAGGACCCACGTCGGGACTTCTGTCAGTTGAGATGCCCATCAGTTCAAGTCTCGACGTGAATGATTTCAGATACGTACGTGCCAGCACATCCTCGTCCGACAACTTCTGGCTTTCAGGAATATCTGTGGCCATGTTCGCCTTGATGAGCAACGTAAGCAGATCGCGGCTTTGCGCTCCCTCGAGTTTGCTGTTCGCCTTCTCTCCCGCGCGGAGAGACTGCGCGATCTCTGCCTTCTTTTCCTGGATGAGCTGCATGCCGATCCTCCTCATAGTTGCCATGGCGGTGCTGACGGCTCTTATGCGCGCGCTGGGCTACAGATGGAATAGATATATAGTACAGTCATCAGCGGAGGAAAGCGTTTCGCCGAGATGCACGCACGATGATCCGGAGTGGAGGGAAGAGATACCGCATCATTGCAAAGACAGATGGCTTCGCGGTTGCAGCGCCGAAGACAACTCTGAAGGCAGCATTCAGCTCGTTCGTCTTGCCATCAATATTCAGTGCGTCGAAGCTATAGTTGAAACCTGCACGGTGGCAAGATGATCCTGCGATAGAGGAAAAGAAAACCGAAAAAGGCACGTACCTGCGAGGCCAATGACGTCGAGCGTCATCTTGGACAATCCGTTGATAAGGTCGATTCGTGCAGGCTCTCCATGCTTGGCAACTTCTTCGGCCCAAACGTCTCTCAGCTGTCGATGTCGCGGTAAGTCAGCGGTATCGACAGGATGATTCGGGGGAGAATGCACCTGAATAGATTTCTCTACAAAGATCTCGGTCAATTCTCTGATCTGCGCTGGACCAAAGGCCGGGTTCTGCAAAGCTGTCTGAGTGTCTGGTCATGTGACACAGAGTGAGAGTTCTACCATGATGCGCCGCTGAAAAACATACAGATTGGTCAGTCCCCATGATGTCAAGCATTGTACGAAACCTGACCTGTTGGCGATGCTGCTCTCCTGAGAACAAATTATTATGAATCAAGCATCACAAGGATCAAACGTATCTTACCTTCAACAAACAGTATGCCTAAAATGAAATAGGGTGGAATTAGTGAATGCATACATAGAGAAAGCACAGCCTGCTAACCTTTGCCCACAACCTGAGCGAGGTTGAAACGCGCAACTGCAGGCTTCTGATAGTCATTGGAGTGACTGAGGATGTGATTCAACGCCCTAGTGTCCGTTGTGTAGAGTGCATCGCCCTGTAAAATCTGATCAGGGTCGTGATAGGAATTAGGAGAAATTGCCTTGCGCACATTAAGCCACTCCTTGTACTTGAATACATTTCCGTACTTCTGCTCCCATGCCTCGTGGAGAGATTCGCCTCCTGCGTCGTAAATCTGATTGAGATTACCAAAGACCCAGCTCGCGTTTGGAGGTCCGGGAATGAAGCGCAGCGAGGACTTGTAGTCCTTGATGATAATAGCGACCAGCTTCCAAACGACATAAATGACAACCGCGCTACCCAGAGACAGCAAGTAAAGGATGATCATGGTGCAACCGTTGAGAGCGGTGAGTAAGGAAGGCCTATTTCCTCCTTTCGTCGTCTGCTTGGGTGCTTTGAGAGGTGTTGATGAGTGGGTCTTGCGCAGCTCGGAGATGCCCACGGCCTTATACCCCTAGTACAGTGGCGATGCATGGGGTAACATGATCGCCGTCTCCGCTGCAGTTCCTCAGTAATCTCATCTGACTATCCTATGCCGTAGGCCGCCGATTTTCTGTCCTCGCAGTCGGCACGAAACAAGAATAGATCCGGGATCGCGGTTGACATACATGCATGACGGGAGGAATCATCCGCATGGGAACTACAAGTAGAATTTCCAAACAAAGATGCCGTGAGTGTAGCAGGAGAGCCAATCGAGGTATGTCATTTGACTAGTCGAGACATGGTTGTTCAGTGGGTCGGTCGTGCAGGAACGTGCAGAGTCTATGCATGAGGCGATTTAAAGGTTTCGTCGATGTTTCTGGTCGGGGAGCACGATAGCTCGCAACCTTCATGTTCAACCAGTTACTGATGGGCTGACTTCTGATAAATTGATTTCTCGGAATGCATGGGAAGTTTAGTCAGCGCAATGACCGGGCTCCTTCCGCAAACCTGCAAGCGTCCGCAGAGTTTCTTCCTGTACGTTGTACGTAGTACAAGCCAAAGGTAACTTGCTGGACACAGGACACATAATGATAAAGCCGGTACCGGCGGCACCCGTTACAACGAGCAGGTCGCGGGCGGCGGACACAGCGGAAAGGACGGTGAAAAGGGATTGATCCGGCGCCAGCTGCATCGCTCGGCTCTGCTTTCTTGGGCTCGGCTCGGGCCGGATTCCGGCTTGAGGCCGAGCCTGGCACATCACTACATGACTTTCACAGGAACCTCCAGTTCTAATCTCCTTGAGTTACACACTTATATTGACATTAGACGGACATCATCTCGATCTCTTCCACGATAAGGACAGCTTGTGAGATCGTCATTCTGTGATCCTCGTCTGAGGCCACCTTGTCCTCCACCATCTTGAACTTGAGGAACAACTTGAAGGTTAGGATGACGTCGAGAGAGTATACAAATCTTAAACGAGTCCGTGAGCCGCCCGTCCAGACATAGAGATGGAAACCTACATCAACACAATAAATGTTTCTGCAGCCTTAGGAAATAGCTGAGCGTGTGGATACGAGACGTTGATAGAGAAACATACCCCGCCAAAGAGGTTGTTAAAGAATGCCACGAGTCTGCAGACTAGTCGGGATGGAAGGTGACCGGTCAGCTGTTGTACAATAAATGCTGCAATCTACACACCGAGCAAGAACTGTATGCAGGATGTCAGTAAGTTTCTGAGCGGTCACAGACGGGATGAACGCACAATGAATAGCAATCCACCGTCTCGCACTAGGTTTGTCACGACCTCATGGTCACTGCGCCGAGGACGAGACAAAGAATTCACAAATAAGAGCACAATGACATAAAGATCATATAGCAGCTTGAGCGATACGGTGAGATTCGAACGTATGCTCGTCGACAGTAGCTCACCTGTCCGCCCCAGATTCCAGGCAAGTACGTCGCCTTGCTGCTCAAACCGCAAGATCTTGCGGTGACGTCATACTGTGCAAGATCTGGAGAAATGTTATCAAGGGTTAGAGTGAGATATGGAACAGAAACGTTACTGATGACTTGTTTGATCGTCAGAACGTCGAATGCAGCGCCCATGCCGTAGCATATGACGAGGCCGATCGCGAGAGCCACCCTGATACTTTTCCTGTTGTCCCAGACCTTGACGATGCACGTGAGGAGTGCGACTCCTCGAGTAGACATTGCGTGAGCTGAGGCCACATGGAGGCACAGAGAAGCATGGCGCACGTTGCAACAAGCCGATACCGATGAGGCCATACACACCGATGAATACCCCGAATCCTCGACAACTATGCCCCGATTAGTGGATTGATACATATGGATGGCATGTAACTGACATCTGTTCATGCGAAGTTTGATTTGAACGCGACATGGGGCACTTGTGAAATCCGCGCTCACCTTACTGCTAAGTGGCACTTGCATACCACTCATCACATAGGCGAATCCTATCATAGCTCCATGCGCGCCATATAAGTTCGCCACAACGAGCGTTTGCACGAACGACCAGTGTCGTTTTCGCCATATCAACTCAATTTCATCGCCTAAGATCAGAAGGTGGTTCCACAGCAGGGAGGTCAACGCCACCGCTAGACTTCGCTATCGACATCAATTTCGCCGAAGAGAGGTAGCTCATTTACCTGAGAAGTAGCGCGTTGCTCCCAATGCAGTAACGTCCGCCGAAGGCAGTAGCGGCATCGTGAGTATGTCACAATGCTAGACTGTGTAATCCGGGGCCTCAGCGTCGAAAACGGAGAGCATACTTATATGATATCACCTCTTGCCATCAAGGACCCTGAGATGCTGGATAGCTATGCACGGGAGTAATCATGATAAGAACCCAAGGCCGGGGGCTATGCCAATGTTGATCGAGCATTATAAGGGCACTATGCCTTTCACGCTCGTACCGGACGTCGAATCTGTTTCAGTAGATATTATGATTTGAACTGCTTCGTGTTGCATCTTTCGATGGTGGCAGTTTCGGCGGAGGTCGATGGCAATGCCCGAGAATCATATTGTGCTTCCCTCCTGAGAGGGGCATCATCATCCCAAACTGCTTAAGTCAGCTTTTGGTAAGCATGAAGATGAGACTTGTCTCAGTATCTAAGATTATGCTCTATTATTGTAAACACTTGCCCGAGACAGAGACATGATCTCCGTCGGCGGTAGAGCACGAGGACACGCCACGTCCAGAAGCACTGAAGAATGGAAGGATGACAGGGGCTAGCCTCGAGCTTCCCTGTGTCTCAGATCTCTCTGCAGGGCTCAATGGTTGGAACTTGAGATTTTGAAACCCATTCCATCTGGGCAACCCGGGCTCGGGGACGGGCGCTAGACCGAACATTGGCTTACTAAGCAGGTGGATGCCACAACTTGGCACCTTGCTCGCTTCATGAAATGCGGAATTCCTGCCCATCTCCGATCAATGTCCGAGCCGGGGAGCGTAGAGCATCTGGGAACGAGACTGAGTCTGAGTGATTGACAGTCATGTGGCATTGGAAAGGTCCGAATCCACGGCGCAAAGTTGAATGGATGCCAGTCGATGTGGGTCTTCAATTGTGCCGTCAGCTTATCCGTCGAACCTTACGTTCAGAGCATGCAAAGAATCATTTTCCCACGGGAAAAGCAGTAGAGCAATCAATGGAAAATTATAAAATCACGTCCGGGAAAAACTGTGAAGAAACCCCCATATCAGAAAGAACAGGTCACAAAGTTACCCTTTTGCATTTCTACTGATTCTGCCATTAAAATTAGTTAGGTGCATGTTGTGGGTCATGGATGGCAGTATCAATTGTTCTCTAGTAGTTACTAGTGATGATCAATTTCAGTTCCCCGTCTCGCCTCCTCGTGGGAATCACGTTTGCCCTCCCACAACCCTCAATTGTTCATCCCTGGAACAGTACTGTACTGCGGACTCTATATAAATGAGAGAACATCTGTCAACATTTGAATTGAATCCAGACCACTTCTCTAGGCATTTCGGTGCAGCCTGCCACGCTTCTGAATTTCGAATTTGGCAGTCAGCGAATGGGAAACACTGCCACGTTAAGCTTCGGCCAACTTGATGGCCATCTGCTTCTTAACAGTGGCGCCACTTAAGTCTTTCCCTCGAAGTCCTGTCTCGCGCTATCCTACTCCCCGCTTCCCAACGACGTTGCAATGCGGATAGAGACAGGTGAAACTTCATGTCTCGAACGGCATAACACTTTGCCTAACACTTGTCACCCTTCATCAGCGGCAGGATTCTTTGCCGCCTTTGTGGCGTTCGTCCTCTACAAGCTCTGTGTCCTTGTCATCAAGGCCCGGTCTTCACCGCTGCGTTCTTTACCAGGGCCTCCGAGTCCTAGTTGGATTTATGGAAATTTGCGTCAAATATTTACGACCGGAAGTGTCCGTATGCAAGAGATTTGGGTGGAACGTTATGGCGAGACTATTAGGTACAAGGGATGGCTTAACGTCAGTTTAATCTGTTCATATTCATTGAGGTAGGCTCACTGTCTTTTCGACACGCAGCAAGACTACCTCTACACGATTGACACTAAAGCTTTGAGTCATATTCTCAGTCATTCTAACGACTACCAGAAGCCGGAGCTCGCCAGATTCATGATATCTGAGGTCATTGGCGAAGGTATGCATTGATGAGCTTTTTACTCACATTTGAACGCAATTTTATGGACCGTTCGACAGGAGTAGTAGTAATGGAAGGTCAGTATCATCCATCCTGCCAAAGATGACGAGCTGAGAAGCATTTAGGAGAACGGCATCGTAAACAGGTCAGTCAAGTTCAGATGAGATCCTTTACGTGAGATAGACTCATTGTCTTCATGTTAATAGAGACGGATCTTGGTAAGCAAACCCTCGCACCAGTGACTGCTGTTTACCGAGGTAGCATCCGCAGAATCCGGCATTTGGGCCAGCTCAGCTTAGAGGCTTCACCGAAATATTCATAGACAAGGCCATTCAGGTACGGAATACCCGGCATTCTGTGTGTCTTCATTGTTCATAGGCACAATTATCGTCAGCTGCGCAACATGTGGCTCAACGAGCTCTCTGAACATGGACAAGGCGTCCGGATTGACGTGATGAGCGGATTAAACAAAATGACACTCGATGCCATGGGTGCTGCAGGTGATCTCTCCCTTTTCCTCATCTGTATCTACGTATGAGCTGAGCGACGCTTCAAGGATTCAATTACGATTTGGACATATTGCGCCCCGACGGGAAACCTAATGAGCTTGCTGATGCTTTCCAGGCTATTTTTGGCCCTCCGACTGGCAAGCCGGCGGTGTTTACTGTGCTTCGTTTCCTATTTCCTCCTCTTCGATACATCGTAAGTCCCGATTGTGTTATCATCACTTTCTCATCAGCTTCTTCTCGGCAGCCGACGGAAAGAACGAGGCGTATCGCAGCTGCTAGAGCGGTAATCTATCGTGTTGGCATGCAGCTGCTTGTGGAGAAGAAAAGGCGCATATTGGACGCCATGGCGGAGGACGACAAATCCGAGACGAGGCATCTTAGCTTGGAAAACCGTGATTTGTTAAGCTTGTTACTGAAAGCAAACATGGCAACGGACATTCCTGTAGGCCAGAGACTCGCCGATGATGAGGTGCTAGCCCGTATGTGAGGCTCTCTTGTTTGAGTGTTATCTCGCTGATCAAATTATTCTAGAGATACCTACGTGCGATCCCATTATATTCTATTGCCGTGCATTCCCTCATTCCAGCTTCATAGCTTCCTGACTGCCGGATACGAGACCACCAGCAATGCGGCGATGTGGTGCCTATATGCGCTGACGCAGGACACTGAGTTACAGCAGAAATTATACGCCGAATTGAGTCAAGTGCACACCAATAATCCATCGATGGATGACCTTCAAGCGCTTCCGTTCCTTGATGTCGTTGTCCGCGAATCTTTGCGATTATACGCACCCGTACCCTCCAGCCTCAGGGTTGCGGTCAAGGATAACACAATCCCTCTTCAGAAGCCATTTCTTGATGTGCATGGACAATTGCGCGACAGCATCGAGTGAGAAAACTGAGAGTGCCTGTTTGATGTCCGCGTTGATCTGAACTCCCACAGCATCTCAAAGGGCACAACAATCGACATTGCGCTCCTTGCCTTGAACAGGTCGAAGAGTCTCTGGGGCGACGATGCTTTAGAATTCAGGTACATGACAAAGCAGTCGCATATCACACTCAGTATTTAATCATCGTGTACACGCAGACCCGACCGTTGGAAGGCCATTCCAGACAGTGCTCACTCAATTCCTGGTGTTTGGGGTGACCTGATGACATTTCTTGGTGGACCGAGGGCCTGTATAGGATATCGTTTCGCCATCGTCGAGTACGCTCAGTTTGCCTCGTTTCAAGGTTGAGCCATATTGACAGCATTCATCAGGATCAAAGCATTGCTCTTCACCCTCGTTCGTGCATTCGAGTTCAAGCTTGCAGTGCCCGCGGATGAGATTATAGTACGGTCCACGGTTGTGAGGCGACCACTTGTTCGAGGGGAGCCACAGAAGGGTATACAGATGCCTATGATCCTCAGGCCCCGTCAAACATGATAGCGGGCGTCGCCTAAGTTTACCAATATTTCTTCCATTTCTTCACGATTCGAGATTGGCGATGCGATTGCGAGGCGCAGGCACGATATGTGAGATTACTTACGTAACATGTTTCAGGAGCTCGGTGTGAGGCAATACAAGTGTGTGCTTTACGCGTTTGAGATTTCATATTCGCACGGCGGGCCTGCTGTTTCTTCTATATCCCAGATCACTTATACGGTGTTAAATGAACCGTTCGGGTTTTCGATGTGTGAGGAAACTGAGCCAACTGGATGATGACGGAGTGCGGAATTGCATACAGGATAAATAAATTTCTGGCTGAAAAGTGGAGGTCGTCTCTAACACCCCCCTGTACCGTTTAACAGTATGATCTGCGTGATCAACGGGCGCTTGCCCCGTTACTATTCAGAATTCGGCACCTGTCCAGCGAGATCTAGAAGTATGAAAATATTTGCCACGCGTGTGGAAAGGTTGTCTCCCCTAGGCAGACTATAGAATATCTCATTCTTTGAGGGAAGGAATGTCAGGAGAATGAAAGATAGAAAGGTACTCATTGAGTGAAGTTGATGACACATCTGGTACCAATGAACGACACAGTGGGTACAGTATGGTCCCCAGGAAGATATCATGGGGGCTGCTAATGAAGTACGATTTAGTGATGTCTTGGTGACACCCAATTTATTCCCGTTCCCGTACGGACACCATGAATGGCCCCTCCATAGTCACTGTAAATGCGTCCGCCATCGTCGGTCCATGATCATTCCCGTCCGAGGTACTGTCGACCCGAATAAAGTCGAAGTATGGCATAATACCCACCCAACAGGCCACAAACTCATACGCAGCAAGCTGGGCAGCCGGGCTGTAAATGTCCGAACAGAATCATAAAGTCAGACATCAGCACAACAACTAAGACGACGGTAACAAAAGCTGACCAAAGGCGAGGTCCGGCTCCGAAACCGACGAATATAGAAGCTGCCGGTTTGACGAATTGTCCGTCAGCATTGAGATGACGACCAGGGTTGAATATACCAGCATCAGCACCCCAAATCTACGTGTTCAGTGTCAAGGGAATCGATGACGAGCATGCAATTATTTTATCAACTGTGTTCTCCTTGCCCAACGATGCAGAACACGGCACTTACAGCCATGTCGCGCATTATGATATAGTCGGACCAGAATACGTGATCACCCTTCCCTATCTTGACTTCGGGCAGGCTGTGTTCAGGGATAGCGGGGAGGATGTCGTCGCAGAGCGCTACGCGTGCGTTCTTTGGAAGGCCAGGCCAAAGACGCACTGTCTCGTAGAACACAGCAAGATGGACATGATATCGCTATGTAAAATCGAGCCGAGCTCGTATCAGCCACATCAGGTAGTCAGAAGTATTAGTTTTCACTCACACTCAGATCAGAGTAAAGTATTGGTGAACCTTCAGGGGCATTTCGCAACGCCTCTTCCCTCATCCTACCCACCCAGCAAGGCACTTTGAGCAATTCATGTAGTGACCAGCCAAGCGCGTTCTGGATGTTATCGCGTCCCGCAAACAATAGTGTCACCAATATATCACGCATGCGCATTAGATCATTATCTGGCTTTCGAAGAAGTTGACCTAGAAAATCTGCAGGTGTGTCGAGGTTGACCTCCATTGCAGTACTCTGGCGATCACGAACGATTTTTGCTATATAATTGCGGACAGTCGAACGCGCACGGTCGAATTCCTTGGCAACGCCATTGAACTGAATAAAGGATAACCTTATAAGCGCGTACATTGAAGTGGAAGGCAGAAACTACCTTCTCAGTGACCTTCCAAAACGGGTTGAGCAAGCGGCTGTCACCGTGTTCAAAACGCAATCAGAATCACCACCGATATAGTAAAATGTATTTGTTTTATGCAGCCCACCTTGAGGATGTGCGATTCAGGACACTGAGTGCATCCCGAATTGCATCGGACTTCTTCATGCAGTCAACGTCCTCCGTGATCAAACCGGTGGTGATGCCCAGCGAAGACTTGCAGAATATAGCAATTGCAACACGCCCTGCTAGATCTGCACTAGGTGAGGACAAGTGTCAAGCGCATGATGGCTAGGATTTTGCCTTACCATTCCAGTCGATGGGTACACCTTTCGTGCTCGCACTCCGCAATAATGCTCTGGTGACGAGAAGGATCTGAAGCGGATGTCACACACTATTCCAACATGCCCACGTCTTCCTCTACTCACTTCATGCATTGCGATCGCAACGTGATCACTGAACGATCTATGAGTAAAAATGGGACTTGAAAACGTTCAATTGCTCTGCATCGTAAATGAAAATGAGCGCAGCGTACAACATAGTCTTCCGTGCCAGTCGCCACTCTGCTCCTTCGGAAGCCACGGGTGTGTTCTTCCCGGGAAACTCGCTGAAAATGGCGATTGCTACAGATCCTCTGCTGTATTTCTGTATGTCCACTGTACCAAGAAGCCATGAACTGAACAGTCTGTGTAATCTGTATCTCGATCGCACCTTGCTTCACGTGTGCCAGCCATTCAGGTCGATTGATAATGACACCACGACCCCATGGAGGCATCGTAAATGTCCAAAGTGGACCAAATTCACTCTGCATTCTCTGAAGCCATAGCAGAAACCGAGTGCGCCAAGGATATACTTGAAACAAGTTGCCAACGATGGGAAAGCCGATAGGACCGAGAAGCTCGGGACGTGGATGAGTACCGATATACCTATCTGGATACGCAATTGAAAGAAGCAGCACGGAGAGTAAGCAGAGCAGAAATGCCACAGTGGTAGTATCTGTGGTAATGAGTAAGGACATTCTCGGTTCAGCTGTAGGAAAGCTCTCAGTGACGTGCTTACCTGCTTCTGAAAACTTCACGCACTTTTATATCAGTAAAATGAGATTGGACCTTGACACACTGGGCGCATGATCATCGTCGCCGCTAGTTTATGGCATAGAGGGCGAACATCATGATTATAATCAAAGATGTGCTGATAATGATCAGAAGCATCTGATGTCTCCGTCTACTGAGTTCCGGAGAGTGAATATGAAACGTCCATGGCGAAACTGCTATCGTGACACTCTGATCACACGGCTGTCAGATGAAGAACATCAGCGTTTTACATGGAGAATGAAAGATTGATGTGACTGCGCGTGGTTCATCAGTGCCTTGCCGCATGGACTCGGTCCAATGTATTCCGCTCTCGCGGTATTCATTAGTGGAAAAGAGAAGATTCCCATGTGTCCGTTACCACTGGGTCTTCACACGCATATTCTACCCCATTTTAATGATTTGTCGCACATGAGATACTCCAGGAAACCGCTGACAAAACATAAACTGAAGAGAAAGAGCCGGTGCACAATTCAGTCCATCTTGTATCATTCATGCAGACCAGCTTGGCTGCTGCTCATAATCCTAGGGACGTCCATCGATCGAATTGTCAACTGAATATCGGTGACCCGTATAGCGGTGCGATTCGAGCAAGCGCCAGCCAGATCTGCCAACCTCGAGTCAGACTGACTGAATGCCGTCCTTCAGAAGACAACGCACGTTATAGATAGTGTATGATAACCGGTCCGCCTTTGCAGTGCGAATGAGATAGAACCGCCCTCCTGTCAATATAGCAAGTGCCAACAGAACCGCAAATTGGCACCAAGAGAGTCGGCACACAGCGCACAGCACAAATGACCATGCTACCAGAAAAAGTGGCATCGAGACCCGGCCAATATGTGGCATCACGATAGGTATGGTGTGGCGCTTCTGCAACCTGTCCCCTGCCTCGTCGCGAAAATCTTGCGCGTGGATAGTCGTCAGAACGATTAGAACACTCATGTATTGCGCTGAAACGACTCGCGGTGAGAATGCACCGGAATCGTCTTACAGAATGTGATGAGCTTGTTGACTGATTTGTGCAAGTCATGACTTACCTGAGCAAGCAATACATGTCGCGCCAGCGTCAAAAACAGCGTAGCCTAAGGCATTGAGAGCATTGCGGGTGAACCAGTGCGAGTCTAGGAGACATTCATTGTGTAAAATTACACCAATTGCAAATATCGTGCCGATAGAAGAGATGTCATGTATCATGGAGAGAGTAAGGCAGGCAGGGAGAAGTAGCCAACGAAGCATTTTAGTTTGGGATACGGAAAAACGCCCAGATGGTATAGGTCGCCAAGGCTTATTCAGGCGATCTTCGTCAGGAGAAAGACTCTGGTTGGATACGCAGAACTGAAGCAGGTGCAACCACACCCAAAATGAGGCGTGCATGAGGCGTGCAGGTGTGGTGTTCGGCACTGACGCGAATGCGAATAAGACCTTGACAATATATGTTCCTCATGAGCAACCATAAAGCTACGCCAGGAGTAGAAAGACATTACTGACGATGGGGAAGAAGATAGTCTTCAAGTCAGACCTGGTGAAGAGATGCATCGTATATGCATAACGTAGGACTGTTTTCATCGACACAGCAATGTGGGGCAATTTGGGATGCATTGGGCTTATGATTTGCCTATGTCTTCAGAAGGTAGTTGAGGGGGTCTGGGGATTGGTGGCATGCGCATGGAAGGGTACACAGACTAAATCAGCTGTATTCGAACTGTTGCCGATAGGATGTACTCACTTGAACCGCGCTTCATGCCGACTGTGTTTGTAATGGGGAACGATGAGAAAGGGCCGTGCGATCATCAATCTGTCATTTTCATGAAATTGAACAAGTCTAGGGCTGAGCGCTGAGCGCCGAGGGCCGATTAATGATTCCATAAACTGCGCCTCCATATGGACCTCCAGGAAACTGAGCATATTCAGATATATATATGATGAACCTTATGCTTGAGAAGCCTGTATGCGCGTTCAAACTAAGAACAAATGATGTGATGTGATGCAGCAATATAAAACGTCTTCCACGTCTAATCAGATTATCAGAACGTCAGGGCACAGGGTACAGGGACCAGGGCTGAGCCACGCTCCTCTTCTCGCTGTTGCCCGGACGTGGTCGCAGGCGGCGGTGGGAGTCCGAGGGTCCTGGAGCTGCCGGCGCTTGCTCGGGGGCGCTTATGTCAGCAGCGCGGACTTCCCCTGCGACCACTCAGTTGGCCCTCGGATGCTTATTACAGAATAGTGCGACCCAGGACCCTGCAGTCTCGTTGCATCTCTGTCACCGAAACTTTAATTCTGCACATGCTCCGTAACCCGTCGTGCTTCGAGCATACATTGAAACACAAGAACCAGTGATGACCTAATTTGATTTGAATGCCCAAACCCTAGTAAGGCGGCAACCTTCCTTGCATCAGAATCAGTAGGCGTTCTGTTCGCGGTAATGCCGCAAAACAGGTGGGCGATATCATTTCGCCTTGGAATAGTCCTACCTCATCAACACCTACGATGACCTCCCCGCTGCGAACCAATTCTGCGCTCGACAAACAAGTAGGCACACTGACAGAGACTGCCGTGCAGTCCGACCATCCTGCACAATCTGTTGCCCGCAAGAAGACCCCCGCGTTTTGGCTGATATTCTTCGCTTTATGCGCCTCTCTGTTCTTATCAGCTTTGGAACTTACAGCTGTATCAACGGTACTACCAACCATTGCTCACGATCTCCATGCGACCGAGTTCATATGGGTGGGTTCCGCATATGCGCTTTCTTCCACCGCCTTCCTTCCCATGAGCGGAAATCTAGCTCAAATTTTCGGCCGTCGCCCTGCACTTCTGGTTTGCCTTGCGATATTTGCTCTCGGAAGTGGCATTTGTGGGGGCGCCCGGAACATGAATATGCTAATCGCCGGAAGAACTGTTCAAGGGCTAGGAGGCGGTGGTATTCAATCATTGTCAGCGATCATTCTCGCGGATTTGGTTACACTTCAAGAGCGTGGTCTGTACGCTGGGTTATTCGGATTGTGAGGATTCGAGCCCTGTGGGATGCTTTCAAAAGTTTAATGTTGCAATGGCAGAACCTGGAGTATCGCTGGAATGATTGGACCAATTATTGGCGGTAGTCTGGCAGACAACGGACAGTGGAGATGGCTATTCTGTAAGCGACAGTATGACCTGAGTGTGATTTACTCATAACGATCCTGCTGATAGACTTGAACCTCCCGATATGCGGTCTTTCAGCTGCATTGGTGCTAGCGTTCTTAAAGCTTCCGACGCCTCCGGGTACACTCTCTCAGAAAGTTACACGAATTGATTGGATGTATGTGTAGTTCCCTCTAGATCCTTGTGCTTCAGCTCATCTATACCCTGGAATTTATAGCGGAAATGTTCTTGTGATTGCCAGCTCTAGCTCGACGGTTATTGCTTTGACCTGGGGTGGAGTAATTGCTCCATGGGGATCTTATCGAGTGCTCGTGCCGCTGGTCTTGGGCATCATAGGATTTGCCGCTTTCATGCTCTATGAAGCGTTATGGGCTGTAAATCCAATCGTAAGGCATTCACTGTAATGTCCACTCGTACGAGTGTTGACGAACGTCTTTGTCGAAGGTTCCTTCCGCGCTCACGTCCAATCGCACCAGCCTCAGTGGGTGAGTGACAAATGAAAGCGTGCAACCCCAATACTCATTGTCACGATGTAGCTATCTTCAGACATTCTTCGTTGGTGTTGTCGCTCTTGGAATTGTTTGTGCGTACTGCTTTAGCCTCTGCCTTTCTGGAATGAATGGTGTGCTATACCATCACTTACGTACTATTTTATCAGACTATTATCCTGTCTACTTCCAGGGGTGTAAGGATGCCTCACCGATAGGATCTGGTGTCTTAATCCTGGGCGTAGGCACGCTCGCACCTTCTGCACTTATTGCTGGTGTTATGGTCAATCGCGCTCGCCGATATCGGCCGCAAATGTGGGCTGGATGGTGCCTGATCATGATCGGATTGGGTTTGTTTACCACGTTAACGGTGGAATCGTCCAGAGGCAAAGCCGTTGGATATGGGGTACTCGTGGGAGTTGGCATTGGGTGAGGATCGCAAACTAGTCCCTAAGCGACATTAGATTGAGTCAAAACACGTTTTCCTTAGTTTTGAATACTCTACCACTCTATTTCCTGTACAAGCTCCTCTGACGGTCAAACAGAATGCGCATGCACTCGCATTCTTGATGTTTGTTCGTTCCTTTGCCGGAGTGAGTACTCCATCTATCGGCATATATGGATACCGACTTACCTTAACTAAATCCTTCCACGCAGGTCTGGGGCATGACTATTGGGTCCACAGTCCTACAGAACGAATTGAAGCGTCATCTCGATAGCGACTTCCTCGCCGAATTCCCCACTGGCGCTGCCATTGCTTATGCGCTGATTCCGGAGATCCCTCATCTCACTCCCTCTCTGAAACTCAATGCACAGACGGCATTTGCCACAAGCCTGAAGGTTTTTTGGGAAGTGCTTTTGGGTGTCGGCGCATTGGGATTGCTATCTTCGTTCCTCATGAAAGGCTTGCCCCTCCATACCACTCTGGATGAGGAGTGGGCGATGAAAGAAAGGAGCAGGAAGGAAGAGAGTCGTGAAGAGGCGGTGCTACTGTCCATCCCCGACAATGATTTTTCGGTCAAGTCAGAGCCGTGAAGCCGTAGCCTTCTGCGCTGTTAGCTCTTCTTCGATACGTTTAGTCTTTTGACAAAATGCTGGTTGTTTACTCCAATATGACTATGCTGTTCCATTTTCGCCTTCGTTGGTATCTTCGATGGCCAGTACATGCGCATCAACTAAGCGGAGCTATGACGTTTGGCTGATCATGCGAGCTATGACTCAGGCCTCAAGTTTCTGGTAATTCAAGGCAACGTTCCTGTCCGCATAGGGCCATAGCCTACACCGGTGTGGATATCATCATTTCGAACTCACTCACTCCGAAATCGGTTTGGCAGTTCCCCTCCACGACGCTGGTAATGATAGCTCCGCGAGTAAGCGCCGTATCTGCACCCTCGATGGTGATCATTAATACGCCATATGTACATTTCAGATGTGGGCCTGTTTCTCCATATTTGGACCTTACGACGAATCATCTCCGTCCGGCCGCATTAGGCGAGCGCAACAGACATATCAGCATCAATCTATCATTATGCACGATCCATTCATATGCTTTGGATGGTTATCGGATGGATGCCCAAAACGCTGGGTCCGGCTGATCCCAGCCGCTACGTTTCAGAAATATGCGCAACGAACCGCGCGTTTTAGGGAATTTGGCCGTCTCAATCAGTTCTTGATCCAACTAACATTCATAGGACGCTCCCGCGTTTGGTTATGTGTGGTGTGAAAGGTATATAAGATGCGCGCAATCTGTGACCATCGCCAACTGCCGTCTGCTGCTATGACTGGCCCTAATCTCCATCTAGATACTTCCTTTGGTGCCATTTTCATCGGAGAGATTGTATCCACGATGTCCGCCCTATAGTCCTCCACATCTTATCGTCAATGACTTTTTCGACCAGAGTATATGGCTTCTCAATTGGCCAATACATCTACTACCTTCTTCACTACTCTGAAGACAAGCGAATACTGAAAGTACTGGTAAGTCCGCATTGCAAATCTACGTGACGACCGGATGGCTCAAATCCAAGTGCACTCATTAATATTATGTGCAGGTGGCCTCACTGGTGTGAGCGAATATGCCGGTTGTCTCAGTCTTCATGATTGACGGCATTTTCTCCTCATTACAGTCTCATAGACACGCTTAGGAACGCACTCTATTTACAGGTATGACACAAGTAGCTTGATTAGAAGGTTTGTTGATGTCAGGCCGTAGGCTATTTGGGTTGATCTTATCCAGGACCATGCTGCAGTACTGCTGCTGCTCAAGGGCTTTCCGCAGTGCGTGATCTCGCTTCAACATTACGCAGGTTCTGAAAAAGTATGATTCTTATTGCTGCACCCAGAGCGTCGCTTGTGGGTGTTTATCCTTTATATCTAGCTGCACACAGGTGACTGAAGTATAGCGATGCATAGGCTGCTGAATTTTTCACGGTTGGATATATTTGACATACCGTTTTGATTTGCTCTCAATGCGATGTAGGCCTTGATCATTCTGATTGTCCAGAGGTTCGTTGAATGTTCCGAATTCAGATGAAGAATTATTGCTCATCCCGCATGCTTTCAGTTACTTCATTTGGAAAGTTTGGGAATGTACGCCCATGTATTTTTTGATGTCTGCTAGTCTCCTGCTCACGTTCTTACAGTAATGGGAGAAAACAAATATCGAACGCGTCTAACGTATATTGCAGTATGTTTTGATGCTTCCGTATAAGTTTCATAGTGCTCATGCCGTATTGCCAGGTTTTGCTCACCCTCGTGACCTTCGGTACAGCTCAATGTCCTACCCTTGCATGCGCTCACATCTGATAATCCCTGGCTATTGGATTTCAGGAAGTAGCCTTGGTGAGTCTTAAACGCAGCATAGGAAGCCTGCATAAACTAACGGCAATCTTCTGTGATGCATTGCAGCTATTGTTTACGAGATGTGAGTATAAAAATTGTGTCTACGCAGCTCGTGACGTTGATATATGGGGTCGATCACGTCATGTTCAGGTCTCGTGCTTCAGTACATTTTTCGCAAGTAAATGTATCATGGGCGGTAAGCCCGGTGAAATCCTTCTTCAATTCGTAAGAACTCATGTCACTGGGATGACAGACACCGGTGATAATTGCGCTGTCATGCTGTCTTGCTGTTGATACATACATAACGGCCGTTCTGTGCTTCATCATGCGTCGATCAAGGACCGGAGTTGCAAGGTGGGTTTCTGGGATAAATCGACACACACAAATCTGTGACTGCATATTGTAACAGCACAGAGAACATGCTTTCGATGCTCGTTCGGTATAATGTTGAACGTGGCCTCATACTTCTGTAAGTTCATATTATCTTGCGATCGCTTCGAGGTCAGCTCCTGACACCACCGTAGTATCAGCCAAGTGGCGTTCACTGGTGTCGTGAGCTCGACATGATCTATCTGAGATGTGAAATACGTGACTATAACCACTCTCATAGCTTGCATACGGCAACGTGAAGCGCAACGAAGTGGCTGCGGCGATTTTTTATCCAGCAGGCTCATGTGAGTGTCCCTGCATTAACGGATTTCCTGACCTCCGTTGAGAACGTCCTTCTACAGTGTACGTCAATACGATACTTGCAGTGTACGTAACTCACTCGTGAAGGTCTACGCTAGCCTGTTTACAAAGTGTTTGGATAGTTTGAACGTGCGCCGACATGTCAGAGACGAGAGCTACAAGTTGTCAAACATGGCTATTTCTAGTAGTCAGTTAGTCTCACACAGCTGAGCGCTGCAATTCATAGTGATCGGCCTATTCAATGAACCCGTGGATGCAGCTGTAATGTTGCCTCAGCCATTGACCTGCACAAATTCCACTTCTGCCATCTTACTCATGTCCAGTTGTAATAAATCATCGTCACAGTGGCTCATATAACAAGAATCTGAGAGTGCACCGTATGCCGGGAATTGTGCACCCGTGATTATATAAGTAGCGTCGCGATGCTTTGACATCGTAACGGGGCATCGTTCTCAGCCTCAGGCTGATATGAGCTCGGCTCGGTCTCATATAGCGATATCATGTCAATCTTGCTGTATTCTACGAGACAGTGCGTCTTTGGCCTTGCCTTCCAAAGAACGCACGCGTAGCGCTCTGTGACGACATCCTCCCCGGAACACGGCCTGCCCGAAGTCAAGATAGAGAAGGGTGATCACGTATTCTGGTCCGACTAGTATATCATAATGCGCGACAAGGCTGTAAGTGTCGTGATCTTGCACCGTTGGGCGAGGAGAACACATTTGATGAAATGTTTCCTGCCAGCTCGTGATCGATCCATGACAGTGGATACGCAGGTTTGGGGCGCTGATGCTGGTGAATTCAACCCTGGCCACGGTCATCTCAATGCCGACGGACAATTCGTCAAACCGGCAGCTCCTATATTCGTGGGTTTCGGAGCCGGACCTCGTCTTTAGTCAGCTTTTGTCACCGTCATCTTACTGTGCTGATGCCTGACCTTGTTATTTTGTTTGCACATTTACAGCCCGGCTGCGCAGCTTGCTGCGTATGAATTTGTGGCCTGTTGGGTAGGTATTATGCCATACTTCGACTTTACTCGGGTCATCAGCAACTCGGACGAGAATGATCATGGACCGACGATGGCGGACACATTTACAGCGACTACGAAGGGACCATTCATGGTGTCCGTACGGGAACGGGAGTAAATCGGGCGTCACCGAAATATCACTGCTAAATCGTACTTCATTAGTGGCCTAATGATCATTGGGTACTAAAAGCCCCAAACCTGTAAGACGTGAGAAACAATAGCCTACAGAGTCAGTAAATCCGCGCAAGGAGGTCCGCGGAACGGTGGGCGCCTATTATGAGGACCTGACCGTCGAGTGCTAAGCGCCGCAGCCTCTGCAGACTGCGCTCGCACTGCATCCGCGACGCATCATAGCCTCACTGAGAGGAGCTTCTTACAAGCCCGTCCTAAATCAGTGTATTTCCTGGTGACTGATCTAGAGGCTCTACTTGGCCTCATACGCTGCAGGAATCGTCGCTGCACACTGTAATTGTGGAAACTTTCGGTCTCTTTCGGTGCTGTTCCTGGCCGAGAAACCTTGGTCCAACCTTTGACTTTATCACATCTCTCACTCGAGAAGCTGCAACAATTCAACTTCACGGTGCGAATCCGTCTTTCAACAACTTGAGCGAGGACCTGTTTGGCGAGGGATATTGCCTAAGAGACACTATCGGGACATCCGTGTCGCAAGCATTCGCCCAGCGCACTTCTACCTTGCTCAGCTGCAGCCATGTTCAGGACAGCCGCTAAGAAGATCGCTCATAACACTATGATACCCGTCCTTGGTGCAAACAAGGACCTACGCTCTCTGCAGGATCTCATTACGGCAGAGAAGGCTGTGCTTAACTCGTGCGTGAGCTTTCGCAATCAACTTGTCCTGAACCCTTGACTCGACCTTCATCAGTCTGGAGAGACTAAGCGCAGATCTTGCGAAGGCCTCAGAAGCATTGAAGGCGTGGGGCTTGGGTGAAGGTGACGATCTCGGGGTGAGTGATTGTTGTGACGTCTTCCGCATTCAGCTCAGCTTCCATCTAGGACACGCTCACTATGTCATGCGTGCTGTATCAACACTTCGCAGAAGCACTCAAGAATTATGCTGGTCATGAAGTGTCTGTGCGAGAACACATGAAGGCTGTACGCTCGCGCGAGGAGCGCCTCGATGAGCTCCGCAGACACCGGAAAAGCGTCGTTTCCGAGGCGGACTCTGCGGAGAGGAAGCTATCCAAGATGAATCCTGACAGCAAGAACCTGCAGGCGCAGACCGATCATCTCAACAAGCTGAGAGACGAGATCAGGATTATAGACATGGACATCATGGCCGAAGAGGCAAGTCTGAGCGACTTCAAGCGTTCCACCGCCAAGATATGGATGGGCCTGAAGTTCGGTGGTCTCGTTGAGTGCTCACAGAAAGGCGTTGTACGTATGACGTCATGGACGACTGCGGCAGATCGGACTGATTGCTTACCCAGATCATCGGAGAGACAGGAAAGATGATCATTGCTGTGAGTATATTCGTGCACTACTACAATGAACGCGGGCACATGAATGTACTCTACAGGAAATTCCCCTAGAGACAACGGATCCTGGCCTCCCGCGAGCCACCTATCATGGCTACGCCCGGACGGAAGCTCTCCTCGACCACGCTCGGCGCACTCTCAATGAGGTCATATTCTTCCCCGAGCCAGATCAAGAAGCACTGCAGCAACCTATCATAGCGAGGGCCTTCTCCAGCCCTGAGCTGCCTGCCATTCCGAACCGACAATCGAGCATAAGCCAGTTCGCACTGGCAGGCCCTACCAGCCGCCGCGATTCAGCCTCAATGTCATCAACGTACGTGATGTCCCAGCCAGACGAGCACCAGCTCCAGTCCTCCCCGCGGAACAGCCAGCATGTCCGCTCGTCCCAGTTCGACCCAAGCTACTCCAGCTTCCCGATGCCGCCACAGGCGCCGTTTACACAGCTAGGGACGCAACTGGAGCAGACGCCCTCATACGAGGATCTGCATCTCGTGGGCTCCCCTCCGCCTGTCAATGAAGCCGAATTCGGCATTCTGTCGGCGGGTATGCGTTCTCCGCGTGCCAGCTCGGTGCCCAGCCCACGCTTCTCCACTGTGCCTGCCAGAGCGGTCGGCCCGCGCCCTCTGCGAGGCCCGTCTGCGACTGGCGCTGCGCGCGGCTCTGCATACGGCACACTTCCATTACGAATGGATGGGCGGCCGCCTTCACTCGATGTCAACCCGCAGGACTCGTTCTCGTCCAGCATCGCCGAGGCGCTGGGGGAGGATTTCGAAATTGGCCAGGAGAGGGCAGATCCGTCATCGCTTGATCCACCGAGCAAGAACGGGCAGGAGAAGAAGCGTCCAAGTATGGACTCGCACAAATCGTATTCGCCGCCTCCGCCGCAGTACTCGGCAGCCGTGGCCGGGACGTCTTACGACCCGCACCGAGGTAGTACTGAAGGGAGGCAGCCAGAGGCGCAATCGTCGTACACGTCTTCACCTCTCGAGCCTCCTGCCTCTGCAATCGGACGCGAGAATAGAAGGGTGACCTTCGAGAGTTCACCACCTGCGGAAATACGGCCACCCGCGGCCCAGGAGCCTGAGAGCGCAGAGCAGGACAGGAACAGCGAAGGAGCGCATTCAGTGACCACGTCAAATAGCATGACTACTGATGAAGGCGAGTACTCTGTCGACCGTGTTCTGGGGCGCTTACTCAACGTCACTTCTCCCGCTACAGGGTCGTCACAGAACCCATTCGAAAACGAAAACAATGAGGTGCTTCCGCAAGAGCAAATCCCAGAAACACAAGAATCAGCAGCAGCGGCCGCCGTCCCGCCACTACCTGCGCGTTCGCCAACCCCGCCGATCGACGACCGCTCGCTCAACGCAGTCGCCGCACGCGAAGTCTCCCGCGAACTGGACTCGCTCATGTTCAACCCCGCTCCCGCTCCCGCGCCCACAGCCTCTCCTCCTGCTACTAACCGGACCCCGTCACCACTCGTCCCACCCCTGGCGCCCTTCGCCAGGCCGGGCCCGATTCTACGGCCAACCATGAACACTGCCGTCAGTTATCCACGGCCAAGCAGCCCACACATCGCCCCGCAGTACGTCCGAGAGCGCGACAAGTCGCTCGCATCGCCGAGTGTGGGCTCCGTATCGGACGAGCATACCACGGCGCCCTCGCCCGCCCCGAGCGCGCCGCTTAGCGCGGACGATGCCGCGTCGCTCGTGGCCCTGCCGCAGGCGCCCGCGCTCAGCGTTACACAGGTCACGCCCTCGCGTGCGACCTCCGCCTCGCCGTTCCGCACGCCGTCGGAGCACCTCGCAGGCTCGAACGCGTCGTTCTACAGCCTCCCGCCTGCGCTGACCGGCTCGGGCACGTCGTTCGCGTCGCAGTCGGGCAAAATCTCCGCAGCGGCATTCCGGCGGCAGCAGCTGCGCAGCCCGAGCATGCCGCCCGCCGACATTGGAGGCGGGGCCACGCTGGCGGACACGAGCCCGCTCGTTGTGAGGAAGCGTCCGCTGCCGCAGTCGCCGACGCCACCGCCCTCGGTGCGTCCCGGGGCGATGCCGCGTCTCCCGTCGGTGCCGCTCATGGGGACGATGCGGTCGGCGACGCTCGATTCGGCAGGGAGCCAGGCGCAGGGCCGGTTCCGCTCAGCATCGTCGGCGTATCCAGGCCAGAGGGATGGCGCGGACTCGTTTGCTGGGGGGGAGAGGGCCTCGCGCTCACCCGGGGGCCACGAAGAGGCTGCGGAGAGCGATGATGATTATGATTATATTGAGGCGTATGTGGGGAATGGGAATGGGAGGGGCCATGGTGAGGACGAGCATGGCAGGATGGGATATGAGCGCGGGAGGTTTGCGACGAATTTGGAGGGTGGTGGTCTGAGGTGAGGTGCAATTTTCTCAGTCAAAAACTGTGTGTTCCGATGTGTCCTGCGTGCGTTCGTTCGAGTCGTATATGTTCGAATTGTTTTGATACGAGCCTTGTATAGTGTAGTTGACTCGCTGGCCGATGTATATGACCCCTCCCCCCTTTCGGTACTGTACGTATACCCCAAGTAATCAGACGACCAGGACGGAGCTGTCCCTGACCCCTGTCAGATATTGAGCTACGATGTGTGATAGATACCAGAGTGTTTTTGAGACGCAAGGCCTTTCTGCTGAGCTGTGAGGCCTGCTTTGAGGACCGAACTGTCCGATCGTTGTTACCGACCAGCGCCACAATCTTCAACCGACTGACCTGCTGGCGATCAGTAATCGCATAAGTGAGAGGAAGCAAGGTGTAACTTCTGCATAGCAACAGGTTGAGAAACCACATCATGTTCGGTTCAGCCTTAGTTGCAACCAAACTTCATGGCCTGAACAGGCTGTGCACCGGTACAGAAAAACATGCTGATCAATGTTCACATCAATGCCTCCAAACATTCATGATTCAGTGAATCAGATGCTTTAGTGCACAGCCACTCCAGCCCATGAAGTCTGGTATGACCTTCAGGGAAAGCCTGTCTATGTAGAGCGTGGGCCTGTCGGCACGACGGATCCGCTGTTGAGCAAGTTGCCATTGATATTGAAGCTCAAAGCTTCAAGCTCTGCAAGCTGAGTCACATGTGAGGATTGCAGCAATTAAGTAGCATCAAAAGAGTGCAAGCAAAGAGTTTGTTAGAGCGAGGCAGAATCCAATTGGCGCAAAAAAAAACAGGAGTTGACCACGTGACCATGACATGACATCACGCTGACTATGTCCTTAGCATGGCCAACCAATAACGTCCCGTTTCCTGCTTCCTCAGTCATTCGTCCGACGCGTTCCGACCGTTTATAACATCCAGCTCATCGTTCCCAACTCCCCCAGCTTTCTCCCTATCACGACCCGCACACAAAATGTCCGTCCTCACCCTCGCCCGCACCGCCGCACGCGCATCGCGCACGCTGCCATCAGGCGCTCTCGCGCTCTCCTCGCAGGCCAAGTCGCTGCACACACTGCCCGAGCTTCCATACGCGTACGACGCGCTCGAGCCGCACATCTCGGGTCAGATCATGAAGCTGCACCACCAGAAGCACCACCAGGCGTACGTCAACGGCCTCAACGCGGCCGAGGAGAGCTACCTGAAGGCTCCCAACCCCAAAGAGCGTATCAGGCTCCAACCAGCGCTCAAATTCAACGGCGGAGGTGGGTTAACGCGTTCCGAGCTGTGTCGATGAACGGTTTGATGAACAAGGGCGGCGATGCTGACGGGCGTGGGCGCGGACAGGACACATCAACCACTCGCTTTTTTGGAAGAACCTTGCGCCAGGTTCGCAGGGCGGAGGCCAGCTCTCTGCTGGTCCTTTCAAGGACGCGATTCAGGCCGACTTTGGTGGTCTTGATGGTGAGCACGCATTCTCCTCGTCGCTCTCGCGGGTTTCCTCATAACGAACCCCTCGTATACGCAATCGGCGCTAACGATGACGTCACAGCCTTGAAGCAGAAGTTGAACGCAGCCACCGCCGCTATCCAGGGCTCCGGCTGGGGCTGGCTCGGCTACAACCCGGACACCAAGAAGCTTGAGGTCGTTACCACAGCCAACCAAGATCCATTGCTCTGTTAGTATTCTTGAGCATCCTGAAATGCCTCAGAGCCTAACGCGAATCATTTTCAGCGCACATCCCGATTATTGGTATCGATATTTGGGAGCACGTACGTGTCTCTGAGATGAGCCTGCGACAACTTGGGCGCTCACGATTGCTTCGTTTTGCAGGCGTTTTACCTCCAGTATTACAACGTGAAGGCCGACGTGAGTGGACTATGATTGCCCTCTTCATACTTATTGGCTAATGCGCGCGTTCGTTCAACAGTACCTCAAGGCGATCTGGAACGTCATTAACTTTAAGGAAGCGGAGGCGCGCTACGTCGAGGCGGCCAAGCAGTGAATGTGCGGACTGTGGGAGGGGGTTGCGTTGCGTTGCGTTGGAGAAAAACAATCGGACGAATGTAGTAGCCATGGCTGTCGTCGCACTTGTACATTATGCACTGCTTATGTTGAGGCATTTAAAGCTGTAACCGCATCTAGCATCAGTTCACTCCATTTCTTCCGGATGGTACCTCCTCTTGCTGAGCTTCAAGTTTGAGAAGTCCGAGTATCATGTAACAGTGCAATGCTATGAGAGACTGTTGATTATTTGATGATGGTGGTGGAGCGTGTCGATGCTTACGGAGAGCGATCCGATGGCTGCATGGTGGTTGAAATTCCGTTTGAGTGTGGCTGTTGAGTGTGGCTGATGCATGATGATGTGTGTCATCCATCATGGAGTCGGGCGGTAATAGCTCCCTCACATCTTTCCAGCCCACTCGGATCCTGTTGTCTTCCCTAGCTACGTAGCTACGTTCACTGATCCTGTCATTGACGAGATCAGATTATTTACTGCTCAACGCGAAAGCCCGACGTACTGCGACGGCTTTCAGGTACGAGACTACAAAGGCACGATGGCATATTTCTGGAGTGGTAATGTCTTCGTAACAATGTCGCGTCTCTCCTGATTTTGATGATACCTTGATTGATAGAAGGTGACCGCGCTCCAGTGATCATGAGCCTGTTAAAATCATAAGACAACCTTCCCGACGCCCAAGTCTTCCCACATATCCTGAGATAGTCCTCCGAGTCGCACGGCATGCCATGACGGAAAGATGTGTTGGCTCCTCTTGCCTCTACATATGAACTTGCATGGTTCATCAGTCAGAGTGAGGTAACATCCATGCGTCGTAATAGATGCGACGTACGAGCGCAAGAGACGTAGCGCCCTTATAACGCTCGATCAACATAGCCTCTTGGGTTCTTATCATGATTGCTCCCATGCATAGCTAGCCAGCATCTCAGGGTCCTCGATGACAAGACAGGTCAATATCCTATTAGTACCCTCTCCGTTTTTGTCGCTCAGGCCCCGCTTTGCACAGGCTCGCACTACAATACTCACGATGCTACTACTGTCTTCCGAGTCGGCTGACGTTATCCACAGTGCTCTGCCGTCAATGTACTATTTATCAGGTAAATGAGCTACTTCTATTTGGCAAATCGATACTGACAGTGAAGTCTAGCGGTGGCGGTGACCTCCCTGCTGTGGGACCACCTTCTGATCTTAGGCGATGAGATCGAGTTGATATGGCGAAAACGACGTTGGTCGCTCGTGCAAAAGCTCGTTGTGGCAAACTATTACGGCGTGCACGGAGCTATGATATTCTTCGCCTATGTGTTGAGTGGCATGCACCTGTCATTTAGCGATAAGGTGAGCGCGGACTTAACAAGTGCCCCATTTCGCGTTCAAACCCAACCGCATGAATAGATGTCAGTGACATGACGTCCGTATTTCAATTTGCTAATCGGAGAGCATAGGTGTCGAGGGTTCGGGGTCTTCATGAGCACGTATGGACTCATCAGTGTCGGTTTCTCACAACGTGCGCCTCCGATCTCTGTACCAATATGTGGCCGAAGCTCATGTCATATCTACCCGAGCAGTCGTTCTCCTCATGTGCACCGTCAATGTCTGGGATAACAGGAGCAGCGTCAAGGTGGCTCTCGCGATTGGCTTCGTCATATGCTACAGCATGAGCGCCGCATTCGACGCTCTGACGATCAGACAACTCTTCAGTAAGGTTTCTATTCCAATGTCGTCCTCTGAGCCTTCATAACTTCTCTTCAGCACCACATTTTGCACAGTATGACAAGGTCACAAAATTTTGCGTTATGAGCCGTAAGGCGACGTACTTGCCTGGAATCTGGGGCGGAGAGGTAAGCTGCTGTCGATGAGCATACGTTTGGATCTCACCGTGTCGCTCAAGCTGCTATATGATCTTTACGTCGTTGTGCTCTTATTTATAAATTCTTTGTCTCGTCCTCGCCGCAGTGACCACGAGGTCGTGACAAACCTGGTACGAGATGGTGGATTGCTATTCATTGTATGTTCATCCCATCTGTGACTGCTCCGGAACTGACCGACACCCTGCATCCAGTTCATGCTTGGTGTGTAGATCGCAGAATTGACTTAACAATCGCTGATCTTTTGTCCCCACTAGTCTGCAGACTTGCGGCATTCTTTAACAACCTCTTTGGCGGGGTACGTTTCTTTATCAATCTCTTGTATCCAGAAGCTCAAATTATTCCTAAGGCTGCGGAAACATTTATTGTGTTGATGTAGGTTTCCATCTCCACGTCTGGACTGGCTGCTTACGGACGCGCTCAAGATTTGTATGGTCTCTCGATGTCATCCTAACCTTCAAGTTGTTCATCAGGTTCAAGACGGTGGAGGAAAATTTAGCTACAGACGAGGATCAGGGAACGCTGACCTCACAAGCCGTCCTCATCGTGGAAGAGATTGAGATGATGTCTGTATAATGTCAATATTAGTGTGTAACTATGAGCTCGAGAGCGCCGCAAGGGAGTCCTGGAGCTGCCGGCCTGGCTGTATTACTAAGCTGTCGGAATGACCAATGTCGACGAAACTCCCGAGCTTTGCTTAAGGTTATGCGAAAGAGTGAATGCCTACCGTAGGCGTCTGCAATGCGTTGCACCCCAGGAGTCATAAATCTGGCTGGAGTGGAGATCTTGCTGAGCTTGAACATAATGAACAGCGGCCCGTGTGACATGCAAATTCGTAAAGTTTTATTTCTAGACTTGTTTTGGGACTCAGCATGTAGTCGATTGGTTCAACAATTCTTCACATCAGCGATCAGCCAGCGTTTGTCACACCTTGTCATAATCTCGCCGTTATTGATCTTCCATGCGTCGCACAGACCTGCAGCTGAGTGTCGGACACGATCATTCATTCCAACTGCGACTACCTTGTCAGAAGCAATCCTTGCTGCACGTTTATGAGTTAATCTTATGCATTCTAACATCTTGGTGTGATGCGAAAGGCATCTCAGATCCTGTTCTACTCTTGAATAGGAAGGAGTGACAGTTAGAAGAGAAATCGTCGAGGTGGGTGCATAGCACGCAATCGCGTCGCCGGCCAAAAAGTTGGGTAATAGTTTTTCCCTTCCCGGCTTAACGCCCACACACCGTGTCCTGGTTGGTTAAGGCCCGGGAGTCCCACGGCAAAACTTCTGCAAAAAGGCTTTTGCTGAACACGATCTCGTGTGGATCTTGCGGGCCTGCCTTCTAGAATTTCCAGGCTAGGCTGGTATAATGCCGTGCACCTTGGAAAAATCTCCTCATAGTAGCTGCAGCAGCGTGATGCAAGAGATGGCAAATTGCTCGACATATATTGGTCTATCGCATCGCATGCTCAGCCGGAGTATAGTACCCTGGAAGACCTTGCGAGAGAGCTCTGCATCTCCAGGATCATGACTACTTTCAATACTTCAGACGTTGATGACCTTCACGTCCCTGCCGACTCAAGCAGCACGACCTCCGACGTAGCAGACAAGGAAGCCGCCGTTACTACACATGGTACAACCCCCAGGTGGCCCTTTGTTATATTTGGACTTGGCTGACCACTTTCCCAGGTGACGATGTCATTTACGAGCACTCACCCCCAGAACGCCGCCAAATTGGCATTATTAGCGCGTCGTTCTTGATTTTTAACCGCATGATTGGCACAGGCATTTTCGCTACGCCGAGTTCCATCTTCGAGCTATGTGGAAGCGTCGGCCTTTCTCTCTTCATCTGGGTAGCCGGCATGCTGATCGCCATGGCCGGCACGGCTGTCTACCTTGAGTTCGGCACTGCGATCCCCAAGAACGGCGGCGAGAAAAACTACCTCGAATACGTCTACCGGAAGCCTCGGTTTTTGGTCACGGCTATGTTCGCGTCCTACGTGGTGCTGCTTGGATGGGCGGCCAGCAACAGCGTCATTTTCGGCGAGTACATCCTCGAAGCCGCTCAGGTCGATGTGAACCGGTGGAATCAACGTGGCATCGGGCTGGCGTGTATAACGACCGCATTCCTCATCCATGCCTTTGCATTGAAGTGGGGACTGCGGCTGCAAAATTTCCTCGGCGTTGTCAAGCTGGCGATCATACTTCTGATTGTTGTCACGGGATGGGTGGCGCTTGCGGGCCACATGAGGATCGACAATCCACATAACTTTGACAGTGCCTTTGAAGGCACCAAAGGGAATGCATATGGGATCGTGACATCACTGTACGATGTGATCTGGAGCTACATTGGATATTCAAATGCCAACTATGTAAGCAATCCTGAACGCCTCTTTGGTGGAGCAACATACTGACCAGTCCAGGCTCTGAGCGAAACACACAATCCCGAAAGGACTCTCAAAATCGCGGCCACCATAGCTATAATCTCGGTATCCATCCTATACATGCTGGTCAATATCGCGTACTTCGCGGCTGTACCAAAAGAGGAGATCATTTCTTCGGGCCGTATTCTCGCCGCGTCTTTCTTCGTCAACATGTTTGGAGCAAGGGCCGGAAGAGCATTGTCTGTTTTCGTGGCATTGTCGGCCTTTGGCAATGTCTTGTCTGTCATTTTCTCGCAAGGAAGACGTACGCTCTACTCCCATCTTCGATTATACTTCAGAATCCTCGACGCTAACTGCCATACAGTCGTACAGGAGCTGGGGCGTGAGGGGATCCTTCCCTTCTCTCGGCTTTGGGCAAGCAACAAGCCATTCAATGCCCCTGCCGCAGGGTTATTCGAGCACTGGGTGGTGTCGATTATCATCATGCTTGCTCCTCCGCCTGGAGATGCCTATAATTTCCTCGTCAAGTAAGTGCTTCGCGATGCCTTCTGGTAGCAGGGTTACTGACATTTACTCAACTATAGCCTAATCACGTACCCGCTCTCCATCGTCAACACGTTCGTCTCCGCCGGTCTGATCTGGATCTACTTCAACAAGAAGAAGCTGGACTGGAATCCTCCCATCAAAGCAGGCCTGCCGGTCACCGTCTTCTTCATGCTCTCGAACGTCTATCTCATAGTGGCGCCATACGTACCCCCAAGCGACGGCGAAAGTGTCTACAATGATCTACCTTACTATCTGCACTGTGTTGTGGCCCTCGGTATCTTCGCCGTCGGAGCCATATATTGGATATTCTGGGCTAAGATACTTCCAAAGATTGGGCATTACCGTCTGGAGCAGGAAACTATAATCGCTGATGATGGATGGTCGCGGACGGTCTTCGTTCACAAGCCTCTTGGGGAGACTACTCGTGCTACTACTACTGATACTACGGAAGATGAAGGGAAATAATGATCGGATTTCCGACAATGATGATGTGCGCGTGTAGCTAGCGTTAAAAATGAGCCTATATGTGGCGGTCACTCGCCCGTATAACACTGTTTAAGGGGTCAACATTGTCTAGCAAGGAATCGTAGGTGTCTTCTAACAAGTAATGTAAGCTATCTCTATCGCGCTCATTGGAGCTCAATGCTTCAATGTACGGAAAACCTCACAACCGAGTCTCCCTCGGCCCAGAGCCTACGTTCCTTCTTTACCACATCCTCAAATGCAGCCACAACATCATGTTCGCTCAACCACGTCGTGCTCGGCCTAGTCTGCAACTTCTGCCTCAACTCTTCATCGCTCTTCGCGATGCTGCCCTTCCGCGGATTCCCCAGCACATCTTTCAACAGCCTTTCTGTATGCGGTCGTCGCGTCTCTTCGTACAGACGCAACACCCTCTCAATCTCCGCCACGGACGGTTTCGAGCTCCGATGGTGGTCAACGGGCAAAACATGCAGGAACGAGAGGAGAAGAGCGTAGGCGTCGTCGATTGCGAGAGAACCACCGGCAGCGTAGGCTCCGCCATGGGTATGAGCTGCGTCACCGACAAGGGTGACGCGCGACCCGAAGGTCCATGTGGGCAGTGCTTCGCCAGCCCAGTTGGGAAAGAGACGAACGGAAGGTGTTGCGAGTGTTAGGGCGCGTACAACAGGGTTCCAGTCCTATTTTGGTGTGAATGGGTCAATGAGACGATTCAAGAAGGATGAGAAGGTCGTCTGTATGATAGGACGGGAGCGTACCTTGTATGCTTCCCGGAGGATATTCACGTCGCCTTGATCATCCCAGTTGACCTCTTCCGATTCATGACCAAAGTTGAGAGTAGGGTCGTAACTTCCGACGATGGTGAACTGATTCTTGCCTATATATATTTTAGAGCGCTGCGCCGTCGTTCCGGAGCCATAGTCAGACGTACCAAGCTTAGAGGCGAAGAAGAATTTGTCAAGACCCCACTGCAGAGAAGATTAAGGTTGTGCTCCCAAGTAGTATAGTTAGGCATACCCAATGAGTAGAATCAGGCGGCAGGTCCAGTACGCCTTCGACAAGGGAAGCATCATATGTTGCCCTCATAATTATACGGCCCGTCCATTTCAACTTATGATGGGGCACGAATGCCGTGCGCACTTTCTGTGCACGCTCATCAGGAAAAGGGTTGGGCAGCGAAGAGGGGATTCCAGTCATACCGAGTGGATTCCGTCTGCTCCAACTAGGATATCCCCCTTGACGCTCGTTCCGTCGGCGAAGAAGACCGTAACTGAATCAGGTTCCACTGTTGCGTTTTGGACCTTCTTCTTGACGTGTACGAGCTCTGGCGGTACGTGCTGCAGCAGGGCTTGATGCAGGTGAGCGCGGTGGAATCGTGCAGTCTGGTGTCGTCGATCGATGACCCCCACAAACGTGTCGTAGCTGACGATCTCATTCGTCTTCCAATGCCTATTTGGGGTTTGTGATGTCAAAGAATGCCCGTAACCACACAGAAACTATCTCATTCTGGACTCAGGAGGACGTATGAAAACATACCGATAGATCATGGGAAGATGAGCATTTGGACCACGAAACGCAACGTCATCGTCGAGCGCATTGTGCACACCCAACCTCTCGAGTGTGCGCAATCCCTGTGAAGATCGACAACAATCGTCAGAATGGCTTGCGTCTGGATAATTCGCAGAGATGGCGAGCGGAAACAGACATTCGGACTCAACGCGATGCTTGCTCCGATCTCCTTCAACTCCGTCGCTTGGTCGAACAATTCAACTTCGATCTGGGGATGATTTCGAAGGGCGATCGCGGTGGCAAGACCCGCGATGCCTGCTCCGGCAATGATCACTTTCAGCTTCTTGTCGGCCATTACAGTGACATCAAAGAGTCGGGCAGTCCCTTACCTGCGATCGGTCAGGCTGCGCAACTGTTCGTTCTATGTAAGATGCCGCTTGCACAATGACCGATCGCGAGCACGCAAACACTAGAGACATGGAGGTATTTTCGAGCGTGCTATATGCTGTGACAAATGTTAATTAGATAGTCAACCTTTAACAATAATAAGTGGACGTTACATGTGCCGCCGCAAATCTAGAATATGATAGCCACAATGAAACTGTGGTATATTACAAACCATAGTTTGGGAGTATTATACTTCCCATAAGAAATTCAACATAACGGATTGGCGGGGGTTGACATTTATATTTCCATATTTGTGACTACGTGCATTCTGCGAAGTTTGAATTTGCCCTGTAGGATTTTGGACAATCCCATGTATGGTCTCAAATGTGAATTTTACTAGACAAATTGCGACCAACACAAATAATGAACTAGAATCTGACTATCTAATTATCATTTGCTAAGCATATTACATGCTTGAAAATGGCACCATGTCTCCCGTGAAAGAGCGCTATTTCCATCATGCATCTAAAGGGCAGGTTCCCATAGACATGGCTCAGTTTGTCAAGCTATGCCTCGACTACTGGTAAGCAGATGGCTTATAAGCATTACAGTGATGGCGTTTTCTTGTGAAAAGGTTACAAATGTAACATGCAATAACAGGTCAGTACAAGTAAGCAAATATATTGACTCGATGATGGCAAGGTAACTGAGGTCATCAAATATTGTATGTTACATGTTAGATATTAATTTTAACCATAAATACAAGTGGATGTTATGCAGGGGTAGTGATGAAAGAATAAGGTTCTAATGCACCATTCAGTGGTGACAACGCTTCAAGGATGCGTTCGCTGCAGACTTAGGAAGGTGTGGAGAGGAGGCCAAATAGTGAGTCGCTTGACCACAGCGCTTGGCAAGGAATGGCACATTGTCACAGCACTGCCGGACAAGAGATCAAAAAGACTAAAAGGGGCAGTCACATGGAACGTGCTGCCCTGATCCCCCTGATCCCTAGGAATCCCCCTGAACCCTATGTGGCGCAAGAGCCTGAGACTTACTAATTGATGTGGCTAGCACAGGAAAGGGATAGAGATATATCAAGGAGCTGGTAAGCTCAGTGGGTGCTATGGTAGTAGACGAGGAGAAACAATCTGAAGTTTCATCCTCTACATGGCTGATCTTATATACACGTATAGTGGGCTATCTTACCTAAGCTACCTATCTACGGGTATAAGCTAATGGCCGTACATGAAACAATAGGATGTCCGGATGTAGAACAATAAGTGGGAAGATCGATGGTTGCTGCAGTAATGCATGTGAACATCGTGCCTATCTTGTTTCCCCTTTTGTTCTCCGGTGTGAACATCGTGCCTATCTGGGCTTCTGGCTAAACTAATAGAAAGCGGAAGGCTGATGCATAACAATAGTCCTTGTTCCCTTTGTTCCCAAATGGGTGCCTCTATTGTATCATGGAATAGCCAGGTCCGACCGCATCATCCGTGGGTCTGGACCATAACATGTGATGTGGACTATCACCTGTTCCCTACGCATCGCGTCTGTGGCTAAGTGGCATGGGATATTGGTGAAGCATGTGATCTGTGGTGTGAGAAAAGCCATGTGCAGACATTTGTGACAAAAATCTGACACTACCCCCTTCTCAAGGCTCATTGTCTCAAGGAGCCAAAACCTTTATTTCCCCTTCTCGTTGCGCACAACGGTTGGTAGCTTCGGGAGGGAAGCCCTTCGGCATAATATTCGAAGATTATCTGGGCTATCCTGTCTCCCTGCTTTACCGAAAATGCAAAATCTGTTGTGTTGATCAGTACGACCTTGAGTTCTCCAGTGTAATCAGGGTCAACGACTCCTGCACCCACGTCAATTCCTCATGCAGCCAGTCCGCTGCGTGGAGCTATTCGTGTATAGGTGTGTTTGGGAGGGTCAATTGCGACTCCTGTTCCTACCACAGCTCGTGAATGCGGGGGAATTTCGTGCATTTCTGCCGCATAAATATCCCATCCTGCTGCTTCATCTGAGGATTTTTTCGGTGATTTGGCGAGATCTGTCATCTTATGATATAGGAAGAACTCGTCCGGATGGTCGGACATATTGATTCTGTGTGTGGATATCAGTGCAACTTCGTATGAGGATAATTCAAAGCATTTTCCACCAAAAGTGACGACCCTGATTGGTGCTTTGGCTGCATCTGGGTGTTGCTGGTGGAATTCTTGAAGAAGCTCGTCGGCGTTGGTAAGATTCGTTCGGGGTTCCCATGTGTCGTCGGAATGGTCATAGCCTTTCCATTTGACGAGGTATTGGACCCTTCCCCTTATGACCTTCGAGTCTAGTATTTCTTCAACTTCGAATTCTGATTCTCCTTCGATTTCTATGGCTGGGGGCTTTGGGGGTTCGCGGTTTGCGACTGTGTCTTGATGGTATATCATCAGCTTGCTATCATGGAAGACTGAATGGACCTTCATTTGCTTGGGCAATTCCAGTTTGAATGTGACTGGGCCTAGCTTCTGAAGTACTTTGTAAGGTCTGAAGTTTTGTGTGCCTAGCTTCGCGGATTTGACTTTTACTCTAAAATCTTTTCCCTTGAGTAGTACTAAGTCTCCGACTTTGAATGGGACTTCTCCCTTTTTCTCATCGAAGTACCATTTCATCCGTGAAGCTGAAACTTCCAATGCTGCTTTTGCCTGTTCCTGGGCCTCAGTTCGGTGGGCGAATAGGTGTTTCAATGAGGGATGACATATTGATTCGTGTATGTCTGGTGCCATTTTTGGATGTCGGCCATATTCGACGAAGAAAGGGGAAAGTGCAGTGGACTCAAGAGTCTGGTTGTTGTATGAAAATTCTGCCGTCGGCAGGTAATAGACCCAATTGTTTTGTCTGTGGTTGCAGTACATGCGTAGATACTGTTCCAACACCTGGTTAACCCTTTCCATCTGACCGTCTGTTTGGGGATGGTATGCTGTAGACATTGTTGACTTTATACCGAGCTTCTGGCAGAACTCCTGAAAAAGTTTGCTCGTGAATTGAGTACCTCTGTCTGAGATAATTTGGCACGGCAGTCCGTGGAGTTTGAAGACTTTGTTATAGAAAACATTAGCGACTTGCGACGATGTGACTGTATCATCTGTTGCATAGAAGTGCGCTCGTTTCATGAGTCTGTCTGTATTGCCGTCTTCTTTTCCCCTCTAAAGTCGATGGCTGGAGGAAGTTGTGTGATGACTGTGACAATTTTCCATGGTTCTCCTGGTACCTCATTTGGTTGTAATAGTCCGTATGGTTTTTCTCTTGAGTACTTGTTGCATTGACAACTGTCGCAACCCTGTACATATTGGTTAACCATTACAGACATTCCTGGCCACCAATAATTCCGAGTAATGAGCTCCAACATTTTGAACCTGCCTGGGTGTCTGGCTGGTAAAGTGTCGTGGTGGAGCTTTATTAGGTCTAGGCGTAGCTGTTGATCTTTGGGGACGTAAACCTTTCCGCGATGGAGCAGCAGTCCGTGCTCAAAGTTCCATTCTGTGAGGTTTTTCCCAAATTCGCGCTGTCCTGTAGTCAAAAGTGCATGATAATCCTTGGTCATAGTGTCGTCTGTGAGTGCCTTTTTGATCCTTTCCAGTAGTTGAGCATCATCAACTTCAGATGCGTGAGCGGGTCAAATCGCATTGATAGCGAAAAATTCAGGTTTTAACAGCATTTGGTTCGAATTGTCGCTGTCTACCCCCCTCTCATGGTCTGGCCTCCTGAACAGAGGATCGGCACGAAGCATTGTCTTTCCAGGCTGGTGACTGAGTACAAAATTAAATCGTGTGAGGAATAATGACCAGCGCGCTTGGCACCGGGATAATTTCTATGCCTGACGGAAGTATGTAAGGTTGAGATGATCTGACCAAATCTCAATGGGTTCTGGGTGTCCTTCTAAGTAGTGCTGGTATTCTTCTAGTGCCCGAATAATGGCAAGCATTTCCTTGTCGTAGATCTCGTAGTTTCGCTCATGTTCATTGAGTGACTTTGAGTAGTATGCGACTGGGTGCCATAGCTTGTCTTCTCTCAGTTGTTCGAGTACTGCACCAGTTGCATAGTCTGAGGAGTCTGTCTCTAGTCAGTATGGTGCAGTGTCATAGGGGAGTTGTAAGATCGGGGCTGATGTGAACGCCGTTTTGAGTGCACTGAAGGCTTGGTCTTGCTCTTCCTTCCATTGTCAGGGCACATTCTTACAGGTGAGAAGCATTAAAGGTTGTGCGAGTTTCGCAAAGTCCTTTATGAATCGCCTGTAGAAATTTGCGAATCCTAAAAAGGCCTGTACTTGTTTGACCTTAGTAGGTGTGGGCCAGCCAAGCACACCTTTGACTTTGGCAGGATCCATCTGTACTGAGTTCTTGCTAATGATCATGCCAAGATACTCAATCGAGGATTGTTCAAAAAAGCATTTTTCCGGTTTGGCATATAAGTCATTGTCCCGGAGACGCTGTAGAACTGCTTTTACTAGTCGTCAGTGTTCTTCGAGATCGTCCGTAAATATGAGAATGTCATCTAAATAGACTACCACCTTTCCAGTGCGGGTTAAGTCTTCGAGGACTGTATTCATCATTGTTTGGAAGGTGCTAGGAGCATTGCAGAAACTGAAGTACATTACTGTGGGTTCAAAGAGGCCGCAGTGCGTGATAAAGGTGGCTTTTTCTTCGTCTCCTTCCCTAATCCTTATATTGTTGAACCCCCATCTCAGATCAAGCTTTGTAAATATGCTAGCATGTGAGAGTCTGTCGATGAGGTCCGAAATGCGTGGGATTGGGAACTTGTTCTTCTTTGTTACTGCGTTGAGGTTCCTGTAATCTTGGACTAGTCTCAACGATCTGTCTTTCTTTTTGACGAAGAAGACGGGTGCTGCTGTTGGACTTCTTGATCTCTTGATATATCCTTTGGTCAACTCTTGATCTATCCACGTGTCGAGCGAATTTCTTTCCTGTAAGTTCATAGGATATAACTTTGCCGGGCATGGTAATGATGCCTCTGGAACAAGTTCGATTGGATGATCATAGGGCTTTCTTGTGGGCATTCGTTCTGACTGCTTCTTGGAGAACACA